CTCAAAATGGCTACTGTCTCTCCACATACCAGATCTGCATGCTGCACAGGAAAAGGGCAGTGGCATAGTCTTACACCCCATCAAGTCTTTGGGCTAACGTTAGAGGCAGAGGCTCCCAGCACTCTCCCTAACGTTGCACCTTACTGGCCCCCGCCGGGTCATATCGCCAAAACCCCACCGCCCTCGACCCGGTCCAGGCCGGTAGTGTTCAGAAGAGGGGCCCCTGGGCAGGGGAGGAGGCACCAAGTTGGCCTGTGACCTTCTGGCTGTCTTTCTGACCCTTCTCCTCAGCGGACTCTGGTGGAGACTGCGGCGGACAGCGTCTACGTGACCCGTGCCAGTGTAAGCCGCCTGGCGCAGGCGCACTACCAGCGGCTCAGGAGGGCAGCGCAGGACCACACGGAGCGGACCCTGCAACAGCTCGAGACACTGCACGGTGCGTCCCAGCCAGGGCTGCAGGGGCACTGAGCGCCGCATAGTGCGATAGGGTTTATTTAAGTGCAGTGCGAGGACAAGGACAGGACATGGGGTGAGTCAGGTGAGGCCAAGGTCTCCCCGGGGGTGATTGATGCAGTCTCTGAGCTTCCTGGTGGCCAAAGAGATAAAATCACTGCAGGCAGCCCTAGGAGAATAGGCCAGTGGCCCCGCGAGGTTTCCCAGACCCTGAGAATCACCTCCCATGGGCTGCCATAAGGGCCCCTGGGTGATGGGATGTTTGGTGTCCCCTGTCCCAGGAGTGACACGCAGGTAAGGGCACACAGAAGCCAGCTTGAAGCCCACTGTTCACACCTCCCTCCCTGCACGGGAGCTTCAGGACTGGCCAGAGTCCCTGGGGCTTCCCTTGCAGCCCAAGAACTGGTGCTGACCCCTCCCTATAAGGGGGGCAGGAGGGGTCCAGCGAGCCCTGTGTGGCTGCTGCTTCTCCCAGCTGCCACCTGCCTCCCTGGCCCTGGGGATCCCATGAAACCTGGCCCGCTGGCGCTTCCTCTTCCTTCTCCTCCATCCTCCCCACCTGAGGGCAGAGAATTCCTGCCCCCAGCTCAGCCCAGCCAGGGAGCTCCGTGAGTCCTGGCTCCAGCAGCACCAGCTGGGCACCTCAGAGCCAGGAAGTGTGGCTCCCTCCACCGGTGTCCCCAGAACTGGTGACTGGGCCTGGGATATTCCTCGGAGCCTTAGCAGGGGCAGGTGGTCTTCAGCCTGCATCCGCAGCAGGACAGCTGGGCATAGAGGGGGCGCGATGACAATGGTCAGTCTGGCCGATGGGTGTGCACCCAGCCTGTCCTGGGTAGTGCTGCAAAAGCCATACGTTTTCTGAGCAGCTGAGCCTATAAAACAAGAAAGAGCTCTGGCATGGAGGGGGTTGGTTAGTTTCAGCCCAGCCCCAGCTGGAGCGACCTCCTCCCTGAGCTATGGCTGCCACGCTGCTGTGAGGCCCCTTGTGTGCCAGCTGCCTCCGTTGCTTCTTCCTCCAGAGCCCTGGCCCGTGGCTGGAGCCATGGCAGTTGGCACCCTGTGCCCTTCCTATGGCAGGTGCACTCCATTCTGGGAACAGCTGTTCCCCTGGGGTGCTAGACAGAGGCCATGTGCCAAGCCCACCGCGGACTGTCCTGTCTTTGATGACCTGTCCAGGTGAGAGGGTCGACAGCTACAAGCTACAGAAAAAGCAAGAACTCGGTGAGCCCTCGTCCGGGAGCCAGGCAGCAGGCAGTGCTCCCCAGGAAGTCCCCCAGAGGTGAGGCCTCACTGCAAGCTGTGGGGGTCCCCGCAGGGCTCTCTGCCCCACCCTGTCCTGTGCTTCTCCCCTGCATTTGGGCAGGCGACCTTGCCTGCATCTGCTCCTCCCAGGGGCCTGTCCACTCCGCCCCGTGCACAGCGCCTGGGGCAAACACAGGGCTACTCGGGTGGCGCTGGCTCCTCTGAGGGCTCCAGGGGCTCAGGTACATCTGAGGGTCACAGTTCCTGAGCTCAGCCGGGCCCTTCTGACGTGGGGAGAGGACACAGAGTGACCCGGGGCTTGGGCGGTGCTGACCACCTCTGTCCTTTGGCCAGGCTGCTGTCCCAGCAGAGGAGGCTCTGGGCCCAGTTCACGGTGCACCAGCGGCTCCGCCTGGACGCACAGAGGCAGAAGGCTGGGGCCCTGGACCAGCTGGAGGCCCAGCTGGAGGCCCAGCTGCAGGTAGGCCACGTCGGGGACCGGTTGCGGTGTAAAGAGGAGCAGAAGCAGCAGAGCCTGCAGGAGCCACTGGGAGGGACCCCGAGACCCTGCTGCCAACCCCCGGCCTCTGCGCGCCCGTCTTCCTGTGGCCTCTGTGACCTGCTCAGTCCCATCTGCGGGGCCGCAGCGGGTGTCGGGGCTGCAGCCCGGCCTGTGGTGGCAGCTGCTCATCCAGCCCAGCTGAGGCGGTGGGGATGGACGTGTCCCGCTGTGCTGACCGCCACCACTTGCACCTTCGGGCCTGCTGGCGGCGACAGAGGTGGCACTTTATGTGGTCCCACAGGAAGCTCAGCTCTTGGGATAGAAAGTCCCATTCGTGAGCGAGTGGGGCCCAGGGATATAGCTCAGCGGCACAGTGCCTGCCTGGCAAGCGCGAGGGCCTGAGTTTGAACAAGACAAGAAAGAAAATCACGAGAGACTATGAGACGCGGCTGCAATGTCGAGTCCCCACCATAAAGGTCCTCCAGAAGGAAGCGTGTGACAGAGACTGGGCCTTTCCATGTCACCCGGACGGGGTGGCCTCAGTCACAGTGACCACGACAAGAACGTGGTGAACAGCTGTTTACCGGGCTCCATCACAGACAGTCGCTGACCCCGACTACCTGCCCTCCACACGGAGGGGCCCTTGCTACTGTTACCCCAGCAACGGGGAAACCGAGGCCCTCCGAAGTGAGCCGACGGGCCCGGGGCACACAGCTCGCACCCTGTGGACCCTGGGTCTGTCCGCTTGCATCCTGGTGCGGGGGGAAGCAGTGAGACCCTGCTCCACCGCAGCCCGGGCCCTGTCCACGCTTGGGCAGAGGCAGGCAGGAGCAGATGCAGCCCCCGCTGCGCTGTCCACCCTCTCTGGGAAGAATCCTCTTCCACACCGGGGACCGTTCCCTCCCCACACGCGGTCAGGCTCTGCCCCGCTGGAAGGCACTGTGGAGGGGCGGCCAGCTGACGCTCTCTGTTTGCCTGGCAGGAGGCCCAGCAGACCTTCGTCACTGAGCTGGCGGCGCTGACCCGAGTGCCCCTTGCGGACCACAAGCCGATCTCTGGTAAGCTCCGGCAGCCGGGTGAGTCACGTGCCCGGTGGACGGGGAGGTCCGGGCTCTGGTCACAGAAGGTCCACGAGCACTTGGCTGTGCGGGGTGAGGTGGGGCGGTACTGCCGTCCGGAGTCACACAGCCGCGCCTTCAATGCCTGTCTTCTGCAGAGAAGTCACTGAGGACCAAAAGGAAGAAGCCCCCGCCCCAGGAGAGAGGGGACCCGGGGTTGCCCAATGATGACCACTCTGCCTCTGGATCGCCCAGGTACCAGCGGTCCCCGCTTGTCACCTGGGCACTCCCTGAGCCGCACCTCCCTGAGCGAGCAGGAAGGGCAGGAAGGTGGCCAGTTCTTTGAAGGCGTTTGTGCACGGTGACCAAGCTGAGGTGCGGCCAGGAGGTGCCTGGTTTTCAGCCCATCCGGCTGGGGGAGGGGGATCCCCCCACACCCTGCTGCTAAGATACCACCGGGTTGCGCGGGTGGCTGAGCCCTAGCACCTGCATGAGGTCCTTGTTTCCTGGCCTCTGAAGCTCCCCGCTCCCCCCAGAGGGAGGCCAGGATTTATCTGCTGGCAATCTCGCGAAGGTCCCTTGGCCACCAGTCACTGCTGCTCCTCTCTGTCCCACCAGGGGTGTCTGAGTTCAGACAGAACGGCTGTGGGGGTCTCCCCAGCTGCCTCTCCCATCCCCCATTTTAAACAGCAAAAGGCTGAGTCAGCAAGAAGGCGATGCAGGCGATGGTGACAGCTCTAGGAAGATGCTAAAGAAAAGAAGCAATCTGTAGCTCCAGATGAGGTCGGACCTGAGGCACACAGCATGTCCCCGCCCAGCCACGCGCCAAGTGGCCTGACCGCAGGAGGCCCGTGGTGAGGGGACTGGGCACGGATGTGAAGGTGCCCTGGAAAGTGTGAATGGGACAACGGTCCCAGGGCGGGAACATTCGGGAGCTGCTGCTGGGAAGGGTTTGAGCCCTGCTTCTCCTGTCTGTGGGACCTGGCGTGCTCCCTCCTGGTCGCCCCCTTTCTCCAGAGGGTCCCCCTTCTGTCCCTGGCCTCTGTCCCCGCCGCACCCTGCTGTGGAACCTGCCTGTCCGAGCTGCGGTCCTGTCCCGGCCCTGTCCCAGCGCAGCGCCCTCTGTCGACCACCCTGTGGGGTCTTGGCCTCCCTGGCACCTCCTGGATCCGAGGCCACCGTCCCTGCCACCTCCATCCCCGACTCTGCCCGCTCCCCACCCTGCGCCCTGGCCATGGGCCACCCGGTCTCCCCATTAGGAGCAAGGCCTGGCGTGGTGCTTTCTGTGCTTTACTCAGCCAGCGCTGAGACCTGGGCACCCAGCAGGTGTCTGAGTCCCAGTATTAACAACTCCGGCCTACACCCTGGGATCCTGGGCCGAAGGCCCGTCCTGCTCCCCTGGGGCTACGGAGCCCCAGATTCTTGTCCCCTGCAGCAGGGCTCCTCTTTGGGGTCCTCGAGGACATGGACAGAGGCCATGTCCAGCCGTCCGGCTCTGGTGGAGTCGCGGAGTCCTTGTCCCCTGTGGAGAAGGGTCCCTCTGTCACCCCGCAGGTGGCGAGGACACCTAATGGTGCCCAGGCCAGCCACACTTGCGCCCCCACCTGGGAGGCCCAACCATGCCCCGGGCCACATCCCAGACAGGAAAGGGCCCCTTCAGTGACATCCGGGCCCCACAGCCTGGCAGCGTGGACACTGGCGAGAGGACTTCTTGCTTGGGGCATGAAGGCAGCTTGTGCAGACGGGGCACTCACGTCAGACCCAGTGGAAGCGGAGCCCAGAGGTCGTGGGGCATTGGTGCTGTGATGCCCGATGTGGGGACCCTGGCTGCAGCTCTGGGGGCACAAAGCTGCTCAGAGGGAGCTTCCGTGAGGACGCCTCCGTGGTGACAGTGTCCCCGCGCCCCGGTGACAGAGGGACTTCGCTTTAAATCAGCACACAGGGTGCTGTCCTTTCCCCTGCGAGGCCGCCCCAAGCCTGGCCCCCCTGGGTCCGCCTGTGATCCTCCCCACACACCCCTGCTCACTCCCGAATAAACGCAGGTAGCTTCAGAACTGCCTCATCACCTCATGTTCGCGGCATATGACTGCTTCCCGCGTGGGGATTCGGGACATGCGCACGCGCATCCGAATCTGTTTCAGCCCTTCCCTCTGCCCTCCCTCCGTCCGCCTCACGGCAGTAGGTCCTCCTCCATTTCCTGTCTTCCGCCTTGTATTTTGCTCTTTATTCGTACTCTGCATCTCTCACACGGGAGAAACTTAAGCTTCTGTGTCTGATTTATTTCACTGAACATCATGGTCTCGAGGTGCATCTGCTTTCCTACGAATGACTCAAATGTTTCCTTCTTTATAGCAGAGTAGTACTCCGTTGCGTACAGATACCACCTTTTCTTGTCCATTTGTCTGTGGATGGACATACAGGGTGTTTCCAAGGTGTAGCTGTTGTGCATTGTGCCGCCATGAACACGGGCGTGCATGGATCGCTGTAATGTGACGCCTCTAACTCCTCTGGGAAGATACTTACACTCCCACTGGCAGTGCCGCCTCGCCAGCATTTATTATTTGATTTCTTGGTGCTGGCCGTTTTTTCTGAGGTGAGATGGAATCTTGGTGTTGTTTCAACTTGCGTTTCTCTAATAGCCAGTGATGGCATTTTTCACGTGTTCTCCATTTGTACTTCTTCTAGGAAGTGTCTACGCATTTCAGCTGCCCAGTTTGGGTTGGGTCCTTTATTTTGGGGGGGTGTTAGTGATTTGGCTTCTTTATGTATTCTAGGTATGAGTCCTCTGTCTGAGGGACAGCTGGCAAACATTTTCCCATTCTGGGTCTGTCTCTTCACTCTGTTGGTGGTTTCCCTTGCTGTGAGAAGCTTCTTATTTTCATGGACCCCACTTGCTGGCTCGACGTTGTTTCTTGTGCAGCTGGGGTTCTGTGCAGAAAGTCCCTGGCCACACCTGTGACTTCAAGAGTTTTACCTGGATCTTACGTGAAGTTAAATCTGCGTATTCTGAGAGCCGCTCCTTCCGTGTTTAGTCCAGTGAGGACAGCACCCCCACCTGCAACAGAGACCCCAGCTGTGACCCCCAGCAGTGTCCCGGCACCTCCCGGAGTCCGCGGGGGCGTCAGTCACGGGTCCAGCGGAGGCCAGGCTGGGATATTTCCATGCTCCCAGGTATATCCTGAACATACCGGACAGCGAGGCTTAAGTCCGTGACTGGAGGAGCCCATCGCGGAGATTTTCCGAACTACTTGTAGGTTTCAGTTCCCAGAACCTGAATTAGCCTCTGCTAGCCGGAAAGAGCCGCTCCTTGCGGAGCAGCAGTCACTCTCCGGTGTGAGCAAGTCCGACCGCATCCTTAAAACCTCTAGTTCAAGTTCCAGGTGGCGTTTCCAGCGTTGGCCAACAGTGCCCTCTGGTGGCTCTCTGTAGCACTGCCGCCATCTGCGGAGTCTGAAAAGCTGAATTGTGCAAAATTCTCAGGACCGTTTGGGTGGAGATTGTCACATGGGTCCTCTGCACTAGGCGTCTGAGCAGGTGGCGCCTGTGTGCAGATGCCTGCTGTGGTAGCAGGACTGCGGCAAGTGCAAACCCCGCCACCTCTGCAGCACCAGGGTCAGCCGCCCCCTGAGATGAGACGGTGTGAATGCGCTCCTTCAAGGACCACAAGGCGGGGCACAAACGCTCCCCCTCCTGCCCAGCCTACTGCACAGCCCGCTTCTAAGCGCCTCCTCCTTAGCCCAGGGGAATTTGCCCTGCGCTGCTAGACCCTGGCCCGCGCTGGCCTCCCACCTGCACGCTGGGACTTCAACCCCGGGACCGCGGCAGGAAACGCCGGGAAGGAAGGGAGGGCCGCCTCGCGCTCGGAGCCGCTTCCTGGGCCTGGACCCGGTAACAGAATTGCCCGGATCAAAAAGCACGCAGCTGTGTGCGGGACACAGCATGTTCAGCAGTGTCCCGGCGAGTGGCCCCGAGGCGGAGTCACAGATGCAGCGAAGGGCGGGCGCCCATTGTGGCTCCGCCCCCCGTTCTTACGGGGATGTGAGTTATCACGGCGATGGACGAGTGGGGTTGCAAGTGGGTGTCCAGTTTGCTGTGAAGCGGGAGCTACGGAGGTTATGATGCTCTGGACGTGAAGGTAGGGTGTCCAGAGCCCCTGACCCATCTGAGGGGCTCTCACCCGCGACCAGTAGGTAACCCCCGCGTCACCAGGACCCAGTGACCTGCAGTGCTGCCCAGCAGGGTGAGGTTGAAACCCTCAGCCTGGAAGAACCAAGAGTCCGGCTCAGGTTTTGATGGCTCTCCCAGCAGGTCCCCAAGTGATCCCTGGACCCCCACATCCTGGAACGGGCCACCAGCAAGCGAGCGCCTTCTCTGTGAAGCCAGCTGGCCCCTGTCCTTTCAGGCAGGGCTTCTGGAGGTCTGCTTTGTAGAAAAGAGAAGCTGCGATTTGCTAGGGGCCTCTTGGGCTTGGAATCCTCTCTTCTTGCTCTTTTGCCCTTCGAATCAGTTGATTGGAGAGAAACGTCAGGAAACGCCGCTGTAATGCACGTAGTCCTTCCGCCGGGACCGGAGTGATGGAGAGCACTGCGTGGGCGTTTCTGGGCAGAGCGACCGCGCTCCTCCACACAGGCAAACCCCAGCCGCAGCAAGAGCCGGTCTGGATGCTTCGTGTGTTCGCAGCTGGCTGGCTCCGTGTGCGTGGCCGGAAGCCGGCTCTGGTGAGAATACTCACCCCTCGGAGGTAACAGACACTGCCCTGAAGGGCTCTGCACCCCACGGGGGCTGGTGGGGCACCACAGCTGCTTAGCGCTGTGGGCTGCTGTCAGCCGAAGGCCGCGCAGTGTGCTCACCTTGTCGACAGCCAAGGCCTCACTGCAAATGCCTCGGGGAGAGGAGTGGTCTTTCCCATCCATCTAAGGTGTGGGTCCATCAGCTGCCACGAGAGTCCGCCGAACCTCCAGCCTCACCTTTCACGGTGCACCAAGGTCACCGCAAGATGGCCGAGTCCTACGGGAGGAAACTAAAAATTCAGGAAGAAATCCTAGCAAGACACCCACAGGCTGAGCCTGGAGCCAGGGCGAGGGGGCTCTGGGCCAGGGGCTGAGGTGGCAGGGGTGGAGGAGAGAAGAAACCGCCTTCCCTGAAGCTTTCTCAAAATCTCTCCCGCACTTCCCACAATCTCAGGAGATGGAACAAAATCATGTGCCTGGGCCACTTAGTGACCTAGTGAGACCTTGTCTTAAAAATAAAGAATTAAAAAGGAAGGGGGATGTAGCTCAGGGTGAAGGGCCCAGGCTCCATCCCCAGTACTGTCAAGAAAAAGGTGGAGTTATTGCAGCTCAGCTGCAAGACTGCTCTGTCCCACCAGGCTGCCGTCCCCTGCAGCTGTGTCCTACGGAGCTTCTGGCCTTGGTTCCTGGTGTCCCCGGCTGGGCCGCAGCTGCCTAACTCATCAGCTGTCCTAGGAGATGGATGTTAGGACCACTTCCGCCTCACAGGGGTAAGGAGGCGCAATCCCGCAGGAAAGGGTCACCTGCTACTGGCTTGCCTCTCTGGACATTTCCTGGGTCGCCCTTTAATGGTTCAAATGCCCCCCAAACGTCACAACCGGCTGTTCTTCCTGCCCACCCTCCTGCCTCAGCTCCCAGCCTTGTTTCAAGAAATCTCCAGCGGACCCAAGGCAATAATGAATCTTTGACCTCAATGCACCTTGGGGTCTTAACAGGCTGAGGGGCCTGAGGAGGCAGCTAAACCATCCCTCGCACCCCTCCTACAACAGCAGAGCCTGGTGACTATGGGCCTTGCTCCAAACTCTCTGAGTCCCAGGCTCAAATCCCAGTTCTGAGCCTTTCACTGCATGATCTTAGATGAGCTCTTGGCCAGGTTGTGTGACTCAGTGTCCTCGTCTGTACAACCGGGGCTGTGGTTTGAGTGGCCCCGTGGGGAGATGGGAACTGGACCAACCATGATGTTTAGAGGTGGAGCCTTTGGGGGTGATCAGGACCAGATGAGGTCATCAGGGTGGGGCCCATGACCAGTCCTGATGGCTTTATAAGTGGACAGAGACCAGGGGAAACACCCATGTATAACACGCGCTTCCCAGCCCTGGCCACCTGGGGACTGCCAGGCCAGCCATCACCAGGGACACCTCATGGACTGCACCTCTAGAACCTTGAGCCAAGTACATCTCTTTTCTTTATGAAGTGGCCTTCCTCAGTTCATTATAGGAAAGAAAAACAGACTCCTGCACAGGAATGATAATATCCCCACACAGAGACTCTGGCTTACAGCAAACACAAGCAGCCGTCAGCCTGTGTCTTCCTCCTCGTCTTCACCACTGCTCAACCTGGAGCACGTGCACCTCTGCCCAACTTGCTGCTTCTCAGAGTGCGTGAAGCGTGATCAAAATATACACTGAATGCTTAATGTTAAAAACTTATTACAGTAAGAGACACATTGCCATGAGTCCCCCTCTATCTCTCCCCCAGGATTTAAACACACTTATCCCATTGTTCTTGCCTCTTTCTGTAGTAGTTCTGGAAGTCCTCCATCGTATCTTTACAAGGTATGATAAAAAAATATGGTATATGCTGCTCCCAAGGGCCATCCAACAGAAAGTCAGGCTCAGAAAACATGATGCCATGTCCTCATCTACCCTCTTCCCTGGATCTGCACCACATGACGTCTGGCTCTCTCCCAAAGTAAAAATAACTGTGAAAGGCAAATGTTTTGAGTAGAGTCAGGCCATTGAGGCAGCCAGGACAGCACAGCTAATGACACCCAGGAAAGAGGACGCTAGAACTGCTGCAGAAAGAGGCAAGGACCGTGGGGTAAGTCTGTTTCAAATGAAAGGGAACATTACGGGGAGCAATGTGTCTTTTACTGAAAACAATAAACATTCACCGTATTTCCCATCACACCTCACAGGTATGGCTCATGGGAGTTGAGTGAAGAAATCAGCCTAAGTCAGTTTCCAGGTGCAGGTGGATGACACAGCCAAGAGGAGTTAAGGAAAGGCTGAGGAGGAGGGACTACACCACGACCTACACCCGTTCCGGCTTTTCTTCCATGGGCTTTAGCCCAGGGGCTCAGCCTTTCAAAGTCAGCTGGTTCTCCTCCCTCCCTCCTCGGGCTCCGCAGCTGAGTCCTGGGGATGCGACCCCCACTGCTGGTTTATCACAGGGCTGGGAACTGCAGAGCATTTAAGCCATCCCAAGGGAAAACCCCAGTCTGTCCCAGCCATGGCCATAAGGCCTGTAATCCCAGCACTTTGGGAGGCTGACTCGGGAGGATTCCAAGTTTGAGCCTAGCCTAGACATGTCAAAATAAAAAACAAAATAAGGGCTGGGGACATAGCTCAGTGTGAAGTCCCTGGGCTTTAGGTTTGAGTCACTTGTAGGAAAATGGATTCACCTTGAAACCATAATGCTAAGTAAAACGAAGGAGACGCAGGTTAAATGTTACAGGGTTTCTCCTGTCCGAGAGACCCAAAGAATAAATAATTTCACGATCGGAATAAAGACAGGCAGAGCTCAACCCTGTGGCGATGGGAAATGCAGGGTGGTGGCAGGTGGGAGGTGGGAGGGAAGGGACCGAGATGCGCGATGAACCTGCACCGGTTCCCCACAAGGGACGCGTTTCTTACCATGTGTACTGCAAACTACTGCACACTGCTAAAGAATAACAAGAGACAAGGCAAAGCCCCAGCCGGGTCAGCGGGCAGTTCATTTTCTTTATTTTTTTTTCACAAGCTTTGAATTCAGAAATAAGGGCCACAACAAGTCGTTCTTAAGTAAAAATGGGGGTGATTACAAAGGAAAACTGTACAAAACGTTAAAAATCTGACTGTCCCGTCCACCTCCTCAGAGGGGACAGGGCAGGGCACCCTGGGGCAGCTGTCACCCCACCGTCCTCAGCCTGAATAGGGATGGGCGTCCCCCGTGAACCTGGCCCGGCCAGAAGCCCAGAGCTGGCTGGACGGACACACAGAGCGGAAAGACATCGCGGCGAGGCGGGGCGTCACAGAGACAGGAGTCAGACACAGGACGGGGGTGGTGCTTCTTCGAGACCAAGTGGAAGGGGTCCTCTGCCTTTCTGAGAATTCACAGATCCCGGTGGGATGGGGGGGCGGTTTCTGTCTGGGGCAGATCAGGGCGGGGGCATCCAGGAAACAGCTTCGGGTCTGAGTCTGGGCATCGGCCCCGCGGGCTTGAGCCTCCGCGTGGTGTCTACGGCCGTCCTCGCGGCCGTGGCCGCACTCACAGACTCGCACACAGAGCTTAGAACATGCATCAAACTATCCTAGGTCACTACGGGTGCAAAGGAACCGCCACTCACAGGGTCATGGAGCCACAGTGGGGGACAGTACAAGACGATGCTAAAACCTGCGGCTCACGAGGGAGGGGAATGGAAGCCACGCTCCGAGGCAGACTCGGCCTGAGCTCACAGCGGTGGGCAAGGGTTTCCAAGCAAACACACCACACTAGTACCACTTCTTCCTAAACCAAAAGAGAAAGGACACCATTCAGTTCCCCCCATCGGTACCAACTAAAACTGTGGGTTTCGAAGACAGGGACGGGAAGAGGGACAGACTGTGTTCCCAGAATCCTTCGCTCTATCCCATCTGCTCCTCTGCGGTCAACCGAGGCTGGTGATGTTGGAGCGGCCACCAGGGGGCGCCACGATGCGGTGGCCGGTGCGCCTGGGGTTGTTGTCGTCTATCTGAGCACCTGGGGGAGACAGAGAGACAGTCAGGGCTGGGTGAGACGCACGCGGGGACAGGGGACACCGGCTGGCTTCGCGCACACGGCGCCGCCCACACTGTGGCTCAGCTCAGCACACGGCCGTCCGAGCCCACTGCTCTGTTCTCTGTCCCCTCAGTTCCTGGGTCACCCCAGAAGGTAACATTCTGGAGACGGGTCAGCAAACCCTCCCTGAGCGCCTCCAGTGTGCAGCCCCTGGGCCTTGACATAACCTCAGAGCCACATAAACACGGGGTTTTGTTCAGGCACATGGGTTCAGCACCGCAGCCTGGCATTTTGACGCAATTTGGGGGGGGGGCCCTCAGCTTCCTCTTAAAAAATAGCATCACCCCACTGTGCACACAGGGCGGTTGTGGGGGTGTTGCAATCAAAGATGGTAAGGGCGCTTTGCAGACCACGAAAGACTGAGGCTCACGCCTCATAGGGGCAGGGCACACATGTCCCCACGTGTGCCTAAAGCTGTCCCACACCAAGGCCAGAGTCCGCACGTGGCCCCAGGGACCCCCGCGGGCGCCCACCTGACAGGCTGAAGTTGGACTGGTGCAGGTTCCGGATGGGCGGAGGCTGGTGCTTGGAAGGCGAGGACTTGGCGGAAGGGGCGGGGGTTGCATATTTGGGCGTGGCGGGCACCTCGTACACAGGACCGTCGTACATGCCCCGGGAGACCCCGTGCAGTCCGGAGACCTGCAGAGGGGTGGACAGGTGGCTGAGCCGGGGTGTGCATCTGTGTGCCTTCTGCACACTCACACAGCGGGGGGAGGGAGGGGATGCAGGGGAGAAGTCACCGACACACACTGCAATGAGCACACAGTCCCGTCCCATTCACGCGCACCCCACACTTCACACACGCACCTCACACTCCACACACACACGTGCTAACACGAGCCACACGTGCACACACGGACACATGCACGTGTACACACATGCACACACACTGATACACTCATAAGTGTACAGACGTGCTTAGACACACACAGCTCCACGCAAGAGGACCCCAAATCCTCCTACCAGAAGCCACGGCTCTTCCCACCCTCCCCGGCAGAGTCCCACCGCAGCCCCTGAGGCTGGTCCTCCTCCAGGCCCCAGCAGAGCTCGGTGCGCCAGGGTCCGGGCACAGTTGGACGGGGCGATGACTCCAGAAAGAGGGTAGGAAAGGGAGGGGAGGCGGAGAGCCGGTGGACAGCGAGCAGGGCGGGGTGCGCGGATGAGAACTGCTCTGCAGGGCAGCAGCCGGCCACCCGGAGCTGCTGCAAGCTGGGAGATGCATTCGGGGCCAGCTGCCTCAGACGGAGCCACAGGCCTGCGCCAGGCCTCTGAGAACAGCGTCCAGGTGCCTGTTTGGGGCCCACGGGGGCCGGTGCCAGCAGGTGACCGTGTCCTGACCCCAGCCCTGACTGTCCCTCTCCCCTCTACAGCAGGCAGGCACAGGCTCAGTCCCTCCTGCTCCCTGGCCGGGCCTCTCGCTACCAGCTCCCTTCCTCCCGCCTTCTGGGCCAACACCCCAGGGCCGCACCCCGCCCTGGGCAGCCAGAGCCAGGTGCAGTGTAGGCTCTGCCCCACCTGGCCCGGCCTCTCCCCTGCCCCCAGCCATGGGAGGGGATGCAGGGGCCTTCCTCCCACACCGGAGGACCTGGCTGAGGGCAGGCATCTGTTCTTCCAGACGCCACTCTCATCCAGACCTCGTTGGTGACCGACTTGGAGGGGTTTCCCACCCCCTCCCACCCTCGGGCTCTTCTCTACACATCTCCCTCCTGACGCGCAGCGTCTGTGTGATATGGCGTCTCTGACCTGCGCCACCCCGGTGGGGGACATAGACAGGCAGAAGACAGCAGTGGGGGCTGGGGTCGGGGCAAGGTGCCTGGACCTTCCTGTCTGCATTGGGAATGGCACACATGAGCACCACAGATCCTCACACACACAGATCCTGCACAACACACACGCACACACACAGCTGGTCTTTCTGGCACACAACACGGGCTGGCCCAGTGGGAAGCTGGTTGGCATGGGGATGGGAGGACGTCCCCACCTCAGAGCTGCAGCAGATGGGACAGAGCCCGTTTGGTGTCTCCTCTGGGCCTCCTAGGCCAGGGCTGAGCTGGAGCCACCGGCCAGATGTAGAAAGGGGGCACACATGGCCGTGACGCTTGTCACACTGCACAGGACAGACCCTGATGCCCGGACACAGGCCGTGGCTCTGACGCGCCATCCACAAACCTTGTTGCGGATTTTGACGCGCTGGTAGAGGTGCTCAGGGAAGGGCTTCCGAGGAATGAAGCGACCCATGCCCTTGCTGACGTTGATGTTGCCATCTTCGAAGACGATCTTGCCCTGGCTGATGACCACCATCGGGGAGCCGTGGCACTCCATGCCCTCAAAGATGTTGTACTCTACCGCCTGCCACCCAAGCACAAGAAAGCGTCACTCGCCTGTGACTCCCGAGGTTTCCCTCTGCATGAACTGTGTCACTCATGCGGGTGATTTTGCACATCAGGGTTTCCCAAGGTCATTATCCCTGTCCTAAAGCATCCTCTTCGGGGCTGTGTAGTGTTTCTCAGTCTACAATGTGCATAACCAGGGCTGGGGAGTTAGCTCAGTAGCACAGAGCCTGCCCAGCAAGTGTGAGTTCATGAGTTCGGTTCCCGGTGCCGGGGGGGAAAAAAAAAACACAATGTGCATAACCAACACCCCCTGCCAAGCACTTAGGTTGCTGGTGGTTCTATGGAATCAAATTAGTATTGTTCTGGGGCATTAAGAATGTCAGTGGTGACAAGCAGTATGGCAGCTTTGACTATAATGGACATTCCTGGGTAAAATAACCAGAGGTTACTTTGTAGCCAATAGCCCAACAGCCCAACCTCTGCTCATGACTTCTAAGTGTTGTGCCTTGCTCCCCTTTAAAGTTATCATTCTTAACAGGTTGACTTTCTTCTTGCTTCTGTACTTACTCTTTGATCCCTTTTGGATCTTCCTATGATAGAGTAAGGGAGAGGTCGATCCTGACCAGGTGCTCTAAAGCGACTGGTTGATAGCTCTATTCTCCTAATTGTAGCTCCCTCCTTGAAGGTAGCCCACATCTGACACGTAGTTGGCCTAATTGGCTCTCTGCTCCGCTGGCCCACACCAAACAGCTGGGTTTACTGTGGCTTTGTAATCCGTCTCAGTAACTTGGACGACTCATGCTTCCTCTTTACTGCTTTCCTCTTTGTTCAGAAATCTTTCAATTATTCCCACATTTGCCATCAAGAACTGTTTTTCCAGTTAAAAAATCACAATCTGTTGACTCTCAGATGACTTCAAATGTATAGATTACATTAGAAAGGAGTGATGCATTCCCTATAAGTCTTTTCAGTGTTAAAGTCCTTGCATTTACCTAAGTGTTGAGTTTTTATTGCTGTTAGAAATAGAAGCTTGGGGGCTGAGAATTTAGCTTAGCGGCACAGCGCCTGCCTGGCAAGCACAAGGTCGTGAGTTTGGTTCCCGGTACCAGAAAAAAAACAAAAGAAATAAAAGAAATAGAAGCTTGGTTTCCATTCCATTTTCCAAGGTGGTCTTTAATTAAAAGAAATGCTATTGACTCACTGTACTGATTTATACTCAGCCGAGAGATTCTCTTATAGTTTTTGGCAGTTTTAGGTGTGTACATTGGGTTTTTGGGCAAACTACATCTGTAAACAGCTGCTAACACCGCACCCCACTCTGCAATGGCGGCAGCGGCCCCAGAAACCAGGCTCACAGGGCTCTGCATTCCGAGCACCTGCTAATCAGGTCCTTCCTGAGCCCCGAGTGGTCCTGCCACGCAGTACTGTGCAACTCTGCCTTGGTACTGTGTGGACCACGCCTGCTGGAGGAGGTGCAGAGCCGGTCACGTGCTCACCGCTGAAAGTGAGCCCCGGCTTTCCACACACCCACCCAGCTCCTGCGGCTCTGTACCGAGGGGGCACCGACACGCTGCATTTCTGAGGAGATCAGGCGCCTTCGGGGTGGTACAGCCGTAGACCACACTGCATTTCTAAACTGGGGGCTCTCAGGAGGCTGGGGTTATAGCACTCGTAAATGTCACGCTCTGTGTTTCACAACTGCACAGAATTTTACAGCTTAATGACTTCCTCTCTTAAAGGTAGAATGAGATCAAACACTCTTGCCTAGTCCATGTGCAAACCCAATGCCTGGTTCCCTCCCGCGGGTGATCGCTGTGATGGATTCTTCTCTGTCCTTTAAAGTTGCCCATCAGCGATGGTTGCAGGAGCAGAAAGCAGAACAGCCATGCAGTGGAAACAGTTCAGCCAGATAGGAATGAAAGGCCAATCCCTGCCACAGCCCGGGTGATGGGCTAAAACATTACGCTAAAGGAAAAACAACCAGCCATAAAAGGTCACATACGTAAGAGTCCAATTATAGGAAACACCCAGGGTCAGCAAATCCATAGATCAACGGAACAGAATAGAAGATGCAGAAATAACTCCAAACACACTCAGCCTCCTGATCTTCAGCAAAGGGGCCAAACACCCTCACTGGAAGAAAGATAGCCTCTTTAATAAATGGTGCTCGTAGCTGGGCGTGGTGGCCCATGCCTGTAATCCCAGCACTCGGGAGGCTGAGGCAGGAGGATCATTGTGACTTCGAGGCCAGCCTGGCAGCCTGAGCTACAAAGTGAGCTCAAACCCAGGCTGAACTGCATAGTAAGACCCATGTCAAAAAAAAAAAAAAAAATGCTAGTAAAGCTAGATTTCCCCATGCCAAAGACAAAAATTCGACCCATGTCTCTCATCATGCACTAAACTAAAATCAAAATGGATCAAAGATCTAAATATCAAAAGAAACACTAAATCTGCTGGAAGATAAGCTAGTAGAACTCTTGACATAGGTGTAGGCAAAGATTTTATGAACAAAACACTGATCACAAGGCAAATATCAATAAATAGGATCTCAGCTTATTAAAAAGGTTTTGCACAATAAAAAAAAAAAATCAACAGAATGAAGAAACAACCCACTGAGTGGGAAAAAAACTTTTGCCAGCTGTTCCTTACACAAAGGACTAATATCTAGAGTATATAAAGGACTAAAAAAAAAATCAGACCCCAAATTTAAAGACCCAACCCAAAAACGGGCATCTGAGATGAATACAAGCTTCGCAGATAAAGAAACACAAACAGCAAATAAATACATGAACAAAGGTTCAGCATCACTGGTCATTTGAAAATCTCAGCAAATTTTTAAAATGCTGAGATTCCACCTTATTCTAGAAAGAATGGTTCTTATTAAGAAATCAAACGACAAAACTGGCAGGGCTGTGGGGGAAAAGGAACCCTTCTCCACTGCTGGTGGGAGTGTAGACTGGTGCAACCACTGTGGAAATCAGTGCGGAGATGCCTCAAAAAACTAAAACTAGAGGTTTCATGTGACCCAGGTATTCCCCTTCTTAGTATCTTCCTGAAAGAATTAAAAGCTTCACACATCATACCACAGTGATATATGCACAACCGTGTTTACAATGGCACAGTTTGTCATAGCTGAATCTTAGAAACAGCCCAAATGCCTATCAACTGATGAACAGATCGAGATGTGTTTTTTTTTTAATACAGCGGAGTACCTCCTACTCAGCCATAATAAGGATAAACTTGGGACACTGATAGGTAAATGGATGCACCTTGAGCCCATACTCTTAAGTGACATAAATTGGACACACATGAATAAATACCACATCGTTTCTCTGGTGTGAGAAACCGAAAGTGTACATAAGGACCAGAATGTATATGAGATGTTATAAAATAGGACAAAAATGCTCAACCGGGAAGGGAAAATAGGGAGAGGGAGGGAGAAAGGAAGGGGGAAAAAGGAAAGAAAAGAAGGAGAAATGGAAACAGCTTTTGTAAATGAGGAGGGGAAGAGGGACTGAAGGGAGGATAAGAGAATGGGGGAAAAGAAGAACAACTGAGGTAAGTCATGCACAAGGACAAAGGCCCTATGATGAAAGTGATCATTATGCAGATTTAAAATGTACCAATAAACCTAAGAAATAAAAAATAAGGGAGGGAGAGACAGAGACAGACAGAAACAGGGACAGAGACAGAGAATGGACAAATTATCAAAACAGTTAAACAAAAGAGTCATGAGTTTAGGTATTTATAATTAGATGATAAAATTATAAAATAAAAATGTAATTACCATAAAAGTCAAGATTTCATAACCAGATTCTCCTTGGCCAGGACGGTGGAGGCTGCAAAAATGTTCACTTTATAAAAATTAATTTGGCTGTACCCTGTTTGATGTAATTTTCTGAAGGTTGCTATATTTAAAAATAAAGTCTTTCCCTCAAAAAAAAAAAGGGGGGGTGGCGAGCTGGGGATTTAGCTCAGTGGCACAGCACCTGCCTGGCAAGCGCAACATCGTGAGTTCGATTCCTGGTACCGGAAGAAAAACAAAAACAAAAAAAAAAAAAAGGAAAGAAAGTAGGTCAGATGCTGCCAGGGGCTGGGAGGGTTGGGGGACAACTGCTAAGGAGGGCAGGGTTTCTTAGGGGGGCAGTGAAAACATGGGGGAATTAGTGATTGTACAACTTTCAGAACACACCAAAATCACTTCAGTTTCAATGACTGAATGGCCAGCATGTGAGTTATATCCCAGTTTTAAAAGTTAAAAAACCAGCTTATGTAGCACTGGGAAACAACCAAGTTATCAACTGTGGTATGAAAGAAGCTCTGACCTTGTTACAGAAGAGTTTAAACAATAATCACTGTTCAACTATCATAAAGAAATTTTTAACTTAAATACAATGGCTGATCAAAAAATACAGTGTGTATTTAAATTGAAAATATTATTTCCACAAGAGACACAGAGCCATGAAGCCCCCTCAAAGTCCTCCCCCTACTACAAACACACCCATCCCACCGTTCATGCTGCTGTCTGAAGCAGTTCTGGAGTCCTCTTCCCTGAGGGTCTTGATGGGGTGGGCACTGCTGCCCTGCGCCATCCCGCAGAAAGGCAGGCTTGTAAAAAGAACACTGCGCCCTCATCCACCTTACTCACTGGGTCTGGCACTGTGTGACTTCCAGCTCTTTCTCAAAGTCAAAATGGCCATGAAGGGTAAATGTTTTAAATCGATTCAGGACATCCAGATAGACATGAGCACACAACTAAAGACCCTCAAGAAAGAGGACTTCCAGAGCTGCTGCAGAAAGTGGCCAGGACCATGGGATAAGTGTGTGCAGAGCAAGGGGAAGTATTCTGAGGCAGATTCATGGCAGTGTGTATTTTACTGTAATAGAATATCTCAGATTTAAACATGCACTGTATTTTTTGATCGCACCTCTGTAAGACAAGCCTTTGGTCCTGCATTTCTCCCTCCATGTTCTGGAAATCATTACTCCCCAGCAGTGTGTGAGTGCCCCTGCCTGGGGAGAAAGAGTGGGACAGATGAAATCCTCTGGCCAACTGTCCCATGGGCTCCTGAACTGTCCTTTTCCATATGGAAAAAATTCAGACCTGGTCTGGCACACAGAGGGAGAGGCCACTTCCCCGAGTTGGCCTGACTGGAAAACAGAGACCTCCCGGGTGGCTTCCATAGGTGTGCGACAGAGATATGGGTCAAACTGTGGGGTGACCTTCTTTGGAAACAGGGTCACTGCAGATATGACTCTTTAGGAGAGGCCTCCCTGGAGCAGAGTGGCTCTGAATCCAGTGACTGCAGGTTTTATAAGAAGATGACAGGCACAAGGAGAAGCCCTGTGGGGACAGAGACAGATGCAGGAGTGACACATCTAGAAGCTCAGGAACAAGGAGGACTGTGGTGACAGCACAAGCCAAGGAAAGCACGGGGACCAGGTCCCACACAGAACCTCTGGAGGGACGTGCTTCAGCCACCTCCTTGAGTCTGGATCTGTGACCTCAGAACCACGACAGAGGACACTGCTATTGTTCAGACTTCCCAGTTCATGCCACTTCATTAGAGCAGCTGAGGGAGACCAACACACCTCTTCTCTCTGCGTCCATCCTGTCACGGATTAATAACCAGGCAGCTGAATTAGAGCAAGGATTCCATGAGATGTGAGGATTCGGAGAGAGGACCCAGGCATGTAGGGTGCTGAGCAGGAGTGTCCACCAAATGGTACGGATCCCAGCAACAGCTGGAGTTGCACGAGCCTGGCCTGAACCCTGACCACGCATTGGAATAGTATGAGAACACGGCCCTGTGTGCCCAGCTCAGCTGCTGCCCTTTGGGTGCTTGCCTGTGCCCTGGGGAAGCTGACTTGGACCTGTGGGCTCCTCTCTAGACTAGAACCAGACCGCATCTCCCAGAGATGTAGGGTGCAGAAGGCCGGAGGTGTCACCAGGAAGTGCTGTGTACATTCAAATGGCCCTGGCCATGGACCATGCACCACTACCAAGACCCCTACAGCCCCGTGAAGTTTCTTGGAGCCAAGCGGGGCCTCGGGCCATGCTCATGAGCCAAGGCGAGTGTTTCCTCATGAGACTCCCTGTTCCTGGTGCCCTGGCCCCATCCATGCAGTTGCACCCCTCCCCACTACAGGAGTCGGGGGTACTGTGCACTTTCACAATGAGACCACACACTGTGCATGCCCCGCTTCCAGCCTGGGCCCTTTAACAGACTCCAGGGAGCAGGGAATAGACAGCGGCCTCCTGTCCCCACAGAGGGGGCACTACAGGAAGCCCTCAGGTGTCTTATGCCATCTCTGTACCCTCTGTAGACTCACTGGATGGGCAGAAATCAACGGCAAGTGAGACACAAAGGAGAGGTAACCCAGTCACAGGTCTGGGTGCCTGCAGAATACAGAGCAGTGCACCTGTCATGGTTTCTATCTAGATAAACCCCAAGAACCTCTAGATGACCTCATTGCTCATAGTCAGGGCTTTGGAAGGTGATGGATAAGGGGCTCATAGCTGACTGCCGTTAAGAGGCAGGGCCTGTGGGAAGAGGCGGTCCCAGGGGCGGGGCCTGGAGGGGTTTGTCTACCTCCAGGCTCCTCCCTTCTCTCAGCTTCCTGTCACCCATGCTGTGAGCAGCTCTCCTCCGCCAGGCCCCTGTGCCCTGCATCTTGCCAACTATGGAATGAAACAGGAATCAAACTCCACCTGTCCTTCCTCAAGTTGTGGGTGTGGGGTACTGTGTCCCAGTGATGGAAAGGTGACTAAGGCAGCACCCCGCCCCTCTGCCTGGAGGCAGAGGTCACACTAGCAAGGCAGAGGTTTCTGATGACGAGATCAGACGTCTTCAAGCTCGAAGGTGCCACTGGAGAAAGAGTTTTGGCCCTAATGCTTCCCTCCCCTGAGCCAGCAGCTTGTGTCGTCATGAGCTGTGAGGTGAGAATGCATGTGTGAGGATACGCACAAGATCCTAGCAACAACCACTGTGGAACTCAGTACATAGAGTCTCCAGACAACTAGAACTAGAAACTCCATTCCACTCAACTACCACCCTTCTGGGTATCTTCCTGAAAGTGTTAAAGACATTGTGTTATAGTGATCCACACATGCTCGTGTTTATAGCAGCACAACTTAGAAGTGCTTAATCTTAGAAGTGACCTGTATGCCCATCAACAGAAAAACAGATCAACAGACACAGTGGGGCCCTACTCTGCCCCATAGAAGGATGAACTTGAGTCATTTGTAGGAGGACAGATGGGCCTTGAGACCATAATGTCAAGAAAAATAAACCAGACACATGAGCTGACATTGTGTAATTCCTCTTATGTGAGAAACCCGGAGTACAAATAAAAGAATGAAAGAAAAGATGGATAACAGGAAACAGGGAGATGGATCTTTTGCTAACGGGAAAGGGATCAAGACATGGAGGGAGGGGGCAAGAGGAGAAGGAGACATAAAAAGAGTTAACCTTTGGGGCTGGGGATTTAGCTCAGCGGCAAAAGCACCTGCCTTGCAAGCGCAAGGTCATGAGTTCGGTTCCTGGTACCAGAGAAAAACCAAAAACCAAAAAAAAAAAAAAAAAGAGTTAACCTTTCAGCTAATTGGTCCATATTTGGGATACCCATAACCACAGGCTATAAAGAAATGTACTCTCTTCAAACACATTCTTGGTCCTTGGATTTCTAGGGGGCCTACAAGAATGTCATGCAAAACTTCAAAACATATCAATCCTCAGCACAAGAAGGTTAAGATGTGTTACATGCATGTCCCGGCTGTCCACAAGAAATGTGATAGCCACATCCTGCAGACACATACTCATAGAAGCAAAGATCCTAGCAGCGGCGAGGTGAGGCTGCTTCACGCCCCCCTCTGGATCTCTCCAGCTGTCACCCTGGACAGCAGATCCGGAAAGTTCCTCAGCCACTTTTAACGGAAGCTTCTGAGAGGACTGCAGAGGAAGAACCCTCCGTCCACACTGGCGGGGCCCGGCCGTGCCAGCACTCACCGACTTGTGGCTCTTGGCGGTGATGGTCTTCACCTTGTCAGGGTCCCAGATGACCACGTCAGCGTCGGAGCCCACAGCAATCCGCCCTTTCCTCGGGTACAGGTTGAAGATCTTGGCTGCATTGGTGCTGGTAACAGCCACAAACTGGTTCTCGTCCATCTTGCCCGTAGCCTAAAGGCAAGTGGTGTCCGTGAGAAGGGGTTCGGGCACAGACCTGAGCCCAGCAGCGGGGTCCCGCAGGGGGAGCGGCGCCCTCTGCCACAGCTGGAAAGGCGCCACCCGCTAGGGCACCCATCAGGGATGTCATGGCCTGCGGAGGTCTGGGGACAGCTGCGCAAGGGCCACGTGACAGCCTGTCAGTGTCACAGTAAATAAAAATCTCCAGGCTGAGGTTAGGGACCACGGAGCCGCCGGGCACTCTGTCACAGCGGGATTCTCTCAGCTCAGGGATGCCCCCACCCCAACTCCAGGCACACAGGTGCGAAACATTCTCACCCTCTGCACACAAGGACAATGGCGACACCTGGGAGTGCAAGGACCCTGCACTCCTCCTGAGGCACACAGCCCCTGAGACAGAAGCAGGAGGACCTAGGCTGCCCACAGGGAGCGGCGGGACCTTACCACCGCCTTGTCCCACACCACGGTCATCCGCTCCTCTATGCCGTTGACGCCCTCGGGGATCAGGGTGAAGTTGTCCTTGCCCACCGCCTTCTGGGCAGTGCTGTAGGGACAGTGGCCGCTGCCTGTCACCTGCAGGTCCCCACTGGTGACAAAAGACAAGATTCGGTTCAGCCCTGAGCCCACTTTGAAGGTCAAACCCCGATCTCAGGTATCAGAGCAGGATGTGCAACCCCAAACCCCCGGAGGCTTGGGCGAGACGGTAGGTGTGGAATGGTTTTATTTTTGGTTTTAAATTTAATTTTTTTCTATTTTTCCCTTGTTTTGTTTTTTCAATACTGATGTTTGAATCCAAGGTCTTTGCACTGAACTGAACACCTAAACTTTTTAAACTTATTTTTTACTTTTATTTTCAGATAGGGACTCAGTAAGCTGCTAAACTGCCCAGGGTAGGCTCAAATTTGCCATCTTCCTGCCTCAGCCTCCTAGCATGCCGGGATTGCTGGTACACAATACCACCCCCAGTTTGGATAATACATTTCACGCTGCAAATTTTATCTCAATTTTTTTGTTGCTCAGGATGTAGCTCAGCACAAAAATGCTGAGTTCAATTCCCAGTCCCTCCTTTTTTTATTTTTTATTTTGAGAATGGGTCTTGCTAAATTGCCCAGGCAAGACTCAAACTTGCACTCCTCCTGCCTCAGCCTACCAGAGTGCTGGGGTTACAGACCTGGGACACCACACCTGGTTCACCTCATTTTTAGAAAACAAAAAAGCTTTATGATAGCCAATAATTCAATGAACAAGTGGGTAAATCCATCAGTGAGTAAGACCAAAGCCCTGCACACACCCGTGTATCTCAGAAGTCAGGGACATCCCATTTACGCTCTGCCTCATGCTCCTGTGTGTCACAGCCACACGTGCTGACATCTGTCTTCCTAACCTGAGCTGCCAGCTAAGGGCAGCTGCTGCTTTTGTCCTGGGCTCACAGGGCAAAGCACTGTTCCATGGCGACAGTAAAGTGACCCAAGTTCCCAGGTTTGCCGTTTGTCCCCCGGCACTCTCAGGAGGGGAGCTGACAGTGGCCGCAGCCCTGTAAGTGCAGGCTGAAGCCGTGCTCCCTGCAGAGCCCAGGACATACACAGGACACTGAGGTCATGGGGACACGCCCAGAAGCCACACGCAGGCATGCGTCCAGCCACAAGCCATGTATACTTCCGGTGTGACGTAAGGCAACGGGGAGGCGGCTCGTAAAGGAGAAAGACGAGGTCCACACTCCTAGTGGGCGCTCATGAGAGGGCTGGGGACTTCAGATGATGGACAGAAGTGAGGGGATGTTACCACTGGCTGAGAACAAGTGCTGGGGTGGAGACAGAACAGAGGACCAGGAAGCGCTGGGTTGGCCCGGCCGGGAGCGCTGGGTCAGGCGTTCCAGACCAGGTGGTCAGCAAAAGCCACCTGTGCATGGACCTGGCAGCAAAGACTGGCAGGCAGCCAAGGGCACAGCATCCGGGGAACTCAGAGTGCAGGCAGGGCAGCGGTGAGTGCAAAGGCCCTGGGGTTTAGGGTTAGCAGGAGCCCAGTGGGCGTGGTGAGGGAACCAGGTAAAGGGGGCCAGGTGAGGGGACTGGGACAGGTGAAGCCAGTGGGGATGAACCCCCCATCATGCAAGCCTCCCGGACGTCACCGTGACAGAAGTCGCTGGAGGCCTCCTCACAGGGCAGCTGGGCCCACTCCAGGCCTGAGCCTGTCTGGGAGCTGGGGGACCAGGCTGTGACGCGGGGGAGCACAAGGATACAGAAAGGCTGTGGGGGGCAAGGCTGAAGGCGGCTGGAGCCGGGGCAGCTCCAGGAATGTGGTCCAGCCCCGGACCAGGGCCCTGAGCCCCCCACCGGGCCTCGGCAGCAGACGCTGAGTAAACCCTCGGGTTTGCAGGGAGTCAAGGTTTCTGCACATCCAGGGCCAGGATGGCACCTGGGGACACACCTGGCTCCTCCTGCCCTGGCCTGTGCTCACATGCAGGAAAACTGCGTATCCCAGAGGGCCCCGGTCCACCTCCTCCAGGAAGCCTTCCCCGCCCTCCCGCTCAGCCACCCCACATGGCCTTGCCACGGCCAGCGGTCCCCTCACACCAGCTCGCAGGAGGCGCAGGGCGGGAGGGGCAGCGCTTCTCCTGCACACTCACACCCCAGCAGCTCAGCAAGCAACAGCGGCCCCTCCTTGACTCCCAAGTGACCAGCCTTCTCTTGTCTGTTTGTTTGTTTTACAGCACTGGGCACTAAACCCAGGGCCTCTGCACTGAGCTATATTCCGTTTCCTTTTTTATTTCTTCTGATGAGACAGTCTTAAAGTACTAAATTGTGCACGCTGAGCTTGAACTTGCAATCCTCCTGCCTCAGCCTCCCTGCACGGAGTGCAGTCCTGCTAGAGTCCAGAGCCCCAGCCTCCTCCCCGACATGTGTAGCCCAGCTCGTGGGCCCAGCCGTGCATGCTGCACCCGCATCCCCCGGGCCCCGGCCCCCGCCCCAGCTCCACACCCCTGTGACTCTCACCAGGCCAGCAGCGAAGTCAAGTAGTCAGGTGTGGTGGGGTCCGGGCTCAGGGGTGGGGACGTCACAAACGCTGCCGCCTTGGCCCAGTTCTTGCTCCAGTAGTGGGTGCCATCTGTGCCCAGGCTGGCAGCAATGGGCTCGCCAAAAACAAGGGGCCCTGGGGAGGGCGGACACAAACAAGCGGGTCACACACAGAGCGACGCGGAGCAGTCACAGGCACAGAAAGAGGGGCGCGGAGGCTGAGCAGCCAGCCGTCCCTCACGGGCAGCACCGTGACCTTGGCTGTGAGCACCCAGCTCTGCACGTCCCCAGCACCCTGGGGAGCACCCGGCGGCCACCGCAGCCGAGCCTCTGGGAACCCTGAGGTCGCAGTGATAACCGCAGCGTCGGCACATTATGAGCACTGCCTTCGTCCACAGATTTGCAAACCGAGCCCGGTCCTAGCTTCGCCTGCACCAGGCAGTAGCGGCCCCAGGGCCCCCAGTGGGTACCAACGCCTCACACACGTGGCCCGCAGCCCCGTGGGTCTTCCCAGCCCCTGCTGTGCTGCCAGAGCAGCCGTGGCCTTCAGCAGCCCAGCTCTGCTCACAAGCACGTGACAGGGAGCAGCGCCACCAAGAAACTAACTTCACACTCGGTTAACTCTGATTTAAGTAAAAGTCCATCTACGGGGTAATGGCCACTGTGCTGTGCAGAAGAACCTACGTGCTTAACCCCCAACTGCTGCCGCACCCCTCCAAGAGTTCTGTAATGGCTCCGAACCTCAGCTTCCCTATCTTTAAAATGGAACGAGTTCCAGGTGAGCGGTGCTATTCTGCCCCACTCGTCAGCTTGCTGCTAAAACTCCTAACACAAGGTACCCGGGCTCCAAGCTGCTCTGCCCGCTCATGCGGCCCCAGACACAGCAGGCCACCAAGCGCCTGCGTTGAGCCTGCTCAGTCTGGACTGAGATTCACCAAGTGCGAAGAACACGTGGGTATGAGAGACCCTGGGGAGGGCGCTCCCCAGCACAGAGGGTCAGCTACGAGGTTACTCATGCTCCTTTATCCTGAGCTCCAGCGGGAGCTCGATTTCAGCTATTTTGTGGATTAACATTTATCTTGACAGGCTGGGTTCTCGGGAGGCAGGAGCAGGTCTTGAGGGATTCGCATGGTCCCCACGAGAGCGGGTGTGGCTTCCGTCCCTCCAGGACAGCAGGCCAGGATGAAGTGCCCGGGGTGGACCAGGAGGAGGGCAGGCAGGAAAAAGGCCCTCGGGCTGCCCCAGCTCACCACAGAGGGGCTTCAGAGCCGGCAAAGCTATGCACACACAGGGTCTCGTTTGACCCCACCAGGCCAGGGACCATTACCCCAGCCACACTCGAGGAAGCTGAGCCTCAGAACGGGCCAAGGACTTGCACAAGGCCACATGGCTGACACATGGACACACCAGGGATAAACCTAAACTGCCCACACACTATGCAGTGCCCACTGCACACCGTCCTCCCTTCAGAGTGCCCCTGAGAGTAAACTTGAAGCTGCCGGACATCCCCCTCCTTGTACTGTGACAGTTAAGCTTAACCGTCAAACTTGACTGGCTTGGGAACCGTGTATGGATTAGTAAAGCACTCTACTTTGTGTGTCTGAGTGGCCATGGAGGGGTGAGCCGGGGAGACTATGTCCGGGGCCTCATCCCTTCCTCCCTGGCTCTGTTCCCCGGCTCTGCTTTCTGGCTGCCACAAACTGAACATCTTGGCTCCTTTGCACTTCTTCTGCCATGAAGCCCTGCCTTGGGGCAGCTGACCATGGACTGAATTCCCTGAAACCACAAGTCAAATCCATCTCCCCTCCTTTAACTGTGGGTGTCAGGCATTGTGCCCCGGAAACAGAACAGCTGACGGGTACGGGGACCTGCTGCCTCCCAGGGGACCAGGACCAGTGCGTACCCTTCTTCCTAGCCAGCACGATGATGTCCGCAGCGCTCTTGCTCATGACCTTGGTGATGTACACCGGGCAGTTGATCCGACCCGCGATGGTGATGGCCCGGAACACAGCCTCGGCCTCCAGCTGGAACACACCAAGTACAGGGGTCATAGAAGGCTCGGGGGGGACAGGCACCACCCACCCCAAACTCCCAGGACTTTCCCTCAGTCAGGGTCTTTAGACGTTCCTTAAATAAACGCAGTCAGAAAGAAAATCGGCCACATCAGAAGAGGGTTACGTTGTAAATTGAAAAAAGGAAAGCAAAGCGAATTCACTTAGAGTGCTGGGAGACAGGATTAAATGCTGTTAGGCTCGTTGGAGGTCTCCTCCCCCTACCCTCAGGGGAGAAACGTGGGTAGAACATGATATCAAAGGCACAGAAACGGTCTCTCTATGATGGTCATGTTCAGAGGACCAGGTAACAAAAGTATCGGTTGTGTTTCAGTTTGTTGTGCTTTGTTTTGAGGCCCTGAGGACTGCACTCAGGACCTGCACACTGAGCTCTATCCCCAGCCGTTCATTTGTTTATTTTTAAATTTTGAGACAGGGTCTAGGAAACTCACTAAGTTGCCCAGGCTGGGCTAGAACTGGAGAGTGTCCTGCCTCAGCCTCTTGGAGTGCTAGAATTACAGGGCGTACCAGCACACCTGGCTATTTTAGGGGGAGTGTTTGTACTTAATTTCCAATCTGCTATGTTACTTCAAAAGCTTGCTCTCGGGTACGAAGCCACTGGTCACTGTCACGGTGTGATGGCAACATCCAAAGCTGGCAAACGCTAGGGCCCCAGTCCTCCCTGATCGACAGGAACAAGCAGCTCCAGTGTCCCGGGACCCAGCACAGTCCCACGCCTGGCTCACAGTTGGAAGAGGACTCTGAGAACATCCTCCACCCAGGGTGGCTGCTAGGGCGGCACCCACCATCGAGCAGTTCTGTGCCAGGTCTGCCCACCCTCCTCTGCACACGTGCACCGTTACACTCAAGCTGCCGCCCCGGGGGAATGAACCCATTTTCAGGTCTGGAACGCCAGCAGGCAGGGGTGGCCACTTCTTAGACACAGGCTGGGGGACGGAGGCTCTATTTTCCTGCTATCAACACCCAAGTCCCCGGCAGACTCTCGTCCAGTTTGGACACTGGGGCACACGTGGGGTCTCAGTGTGAAGTCCCTGGGTCCTGAGAGAGGCACAGCCGCTTGCTGGCCTCCCTGAGTGACCTGCCACCCCCACCCCCAGGGAAGGAGCAGACGGGCGGGGAAGGAGCTGAGCTCGGGCCGTGCTGCATCAGCTGTGAGGGTACTGCGGCAAGGGCACAGTGGCGCCCCAGCTAGGGAGTCTTCACCTCTTCGGGTCTGCTCAGAGCGTGGCCCTCCGGACCCGTGATGCCCATCTCCAAGATCCGCTTTTGTTCCTACGAGACAGTGACAAGTGACAGGGGTTACAGAATGGCAGCACTGGGAGAAGTCATTTCCTCCAGCTCCAGCTCTAGAGCAGGGAGGCTAAGCCCAGGCAGGGAGCTGTGCAAGGTCTAATGGTGGAGGGTGGTGTGAGCCAGGGTCCTCCGGCAGCACCTCCTGCCTCCACCTGGTCTCCTTCCTCTCTACGGCCGCCCCTGCTTTATCCCCATCTCCCTAGAGCAGCGAGAGGAGGCAGAGAGCCAGAGATGAACACAATTTGTCTCACCGAAACTGCTGTGGAGGCTCAACCACCAGCCTAGCGGTATTGATGGATGGTGAGAGGGGACCACAAGATCTTATCCTTTCCTTGCGTGAGTGAGTTTTTGCTCAGCAATGGGTCCGTTCTTGCAGGACTGGTCTGTTACGAACTCAGCCTGGCACCTCCCCAGGCTCTTGCACTCTCACTTCTGCCCCATTCACCTGCTCCCCTTTTCCACAGTGCAGGGAGCAGTGTGCAGCTCTCCAAAACCAGGATCCCAAAACAGACTTCCCTTATTTAGCCCCAGCCTCGGGTATTTTGTGATAGCAACAGAAAACTGACTGAGATGGAAAGCGGGGCTGAGAAGCAGAGCTGGGCCATCAGGAGGTCCGAAAATGTGGCTTTGGAATTGGTGATGGCGGAGACGGGGAGGGCTGGGAGGAGAGGCGGGAACAAGCCTGGGTGCCTTCAGCATGCACGGAAGTGGTTCCTGCGAGAGCTCAGGGACCAGAAGGCTGGGCAAAGTCTAGAGTTCCCCAGAGACTGGCTGAGTGTTGGTGACCAGCGTGCTGGTGGAAACACAGCAGGAAAGGCCACTCTATGAAATCTCAGGTGGCAACCAGGGCACCTCCTTAGCAACCGGCTAAGAAGCCACGAAGATCTTGGCCGTACTGTGTCCGGGTCCTCGGACTTCACAGAAGATGGAATTTAAAAGCAATGAAGTAGAATTTCTAGCTAAAAAGCTTTACAAGCGAAAGATAGAAGGAGCGGAGTGGCTGCTTTTTACTGCTTCGGCTGGGATTAGGGAAAAGGGAGTTACTCAGAGACAGAACTTATAATTTCAAAAGGAAAGAGAGCACAAAAAGTTGGAGAAGTTGCAGCCAGATTCCAAACAGAACAGCAAAGCACGGTTGGCGGGGGATCCCTGGGGTGTGTCTGGGGAGCTGGCCCTGAGTGCAGGATTCCACTGAATGATTAAACTGCAGGGCAAAAGCACACGAGGAGTGAACGGATGAAAGGTGGGGCAAAGGCACACAAATAATTAAACTGTGTCTGGCCAGGTGCTTCCCCTGTTTCCCCAAGAAGAACCGCCCAGCCTTGAGTCGGCCGCCGGCCCAAGTTGCTGTTTTGTCTCGCTGAGATTCTGAGTAAGAGCCAGAGAGCTCTTGGCTTGGGTGGCTGGCGGGCTTCTTCTCCCAGAGGCTCCCGAGGGCTGGGCGCTGTCAGTGGAGAAACAGGGCCCCTCGGTGAAGGAACTAAGTCTCATCCCCAAGTCATCTTTTCATCCCCCGTGCTGCTCGAGGCGGTCGCTGCGACCAGCGGTGCCCCTCGGTGCCCCACATGAGGCAAAAGTGCTGCTGCTGATCTGCGGACGGAACCGAGCTGCCCAGCCTGGAAAAGGAACAGGTACGTCCGACTTCTCACACCGGTGAGGGGCCAGGGGCAGCCGCGGAAGAGCCTGAGAAGCCTATGGGGAGGGCGAAGGTTAGGTTCATGAGCCTGGGCCTCATAACTGCCCAACTGTTTGCTTCTCACTTTGCTCTTTTACTTTCATTTCCGTTTTACCTGTGATAAGGGCTGAACTTCAAGGAGAAAAAGCAACCTTTACAATAGCTCTTAAAAACATCTGACTACCAAAAAATAAGAAAAAGAATACTGCGACAGTGCGTCCCAGGGGTGAGATCCCAAGGGACTGGACCCAGCGACGCAGAGCCAGGTGCTGTACAGGGACCACAGAGAAAAGTCCCCGAAGCCTATGTGAGCTCTTCCGGGCAACTCAGGTGGGGGCGCTGAGGAAGGAAGGGGGCCCTCCCAGCTCAGGCCAGCTCCCGGCACCCAGCCCCGGCTCAAGCAGGCCTCAGTCCCACAGGGTAATGAGAGCTGGCGGGGTCCACATGGGGCTAACTCTGCAGGTGTCTGGAACAGAAGAGCTCCCGACAGGGTCTCTGTGGCTTCCACCTAGATTTCAAAGGTTGTCACCAAGAGCCTGCGGGCCCAGGCGGAAACCAGCCAGAGTCGCGGTGCCCCCGAGAACCCCTGCTAGGGCACTGCCTAGTGGAGCCTCTGGAGCGGCCTCCACCACTGGAACCCCAGTTCTGAAGTGCCCGTGGCCATGTGCAGCGCCTGCCTGGGAACGCAGCGGCAGCTGACTCTGATCCCAGAGAGGAACCACAGGGACTGAACCCCGCAAAGCCATGGGTGGGGGCGGCCACAGCCTCGGACACAACTCTGCCCCAGGGCATCCGAGAGGTGCCACATGGGATCAAAGGCCTGATTCTGGCGTTAGGAGTTAAGGCCTGCGCTGCTGGGCTTCGAGCTTGCTTTAGGCCAGTACCCTTTCTTGGGGAGTACAGTACATCTCACACCTTGCAGATACAGGTGTTCACCCAATGCTGGTCCACAAGCCCAGTCTTGGAAGTTCAGAACTTATTTCCAATTTTACAGGCTCATAGCTGAAGGAGTGTGCCTGAGGCTCAGGTGATTTGGGGTTTGGACCTGGGAGCTGATGCTGGGACAAGCTGAGACTTAGGGCCACTGGGGTGGAATGAATGCTACGGCCTGGATATGGCTGGTGCCCTCCAAAATCCATGCAGAAGGACTGGTCCCCTGGGTACAGGTCTCAAGCTCAGGTTGTGATGAAGCAAGCTCCCCTCGGTCTCTCTCACAGGCTCCTTTCCTGTGCAACTGTTTCCCTCTTCTAATTCTCTTTTCTTTTTGGGGGTGGGGTGGGATACTGAGGATTGAGCCCAGGGTCTTTATACAGTTATATCCCCCAGCCCTCTTTTATTTTTTACTTTGAGACAAGGTCTCCCTAAATCGCCAAGCTGGGCTCACACTTTGAATCCTCCTGCCTCAGCCCCTCAGAGTGCAGGGATTACAGGGAGTGCACACCATGTCTGGCCTCTCTTCCAGTTCTCTGTCACGCATGGAGAGTCCGTGGTCCTGGTCAGAAGCTGGACTGACACCAGCACCATGCTCTTGGACCTCCGGAACTGTGAGCCAAGATAAACCTCTTTTCCTTACAAATTACTCAGTCTCAGGTATCCAGTTACACCAGCAGAAAAACAAGGACGACCCAGGGCTCTAAGAAATGAGCTTTGAAACCCACCAACCACCCTTTCAACCTGAGCCTCCTGCAGGGCTCTCCTCTGGGAAGCAACGCGGCCTTGCGGGTATCACATGGACGCTGACATCTGAGTCCTCAGTGAGGTCCAGCTCCAGACCCGCCCACGTCTATGACTTTGTGGGAGGTGTGCAGGCTCTCTGGGCCTCAGCTTCTCCTCTGTGCGCTGGGGTCCCCAGCGTTTGTATCACCAGGTTACCGTGTTGAGTAAGTGGACAGCTTACTACCCAGGGCAAAGAGAGCATCTAGGAGCCTGCCACCAGCTCGGCACCTCGCCTACACTCTCTTCCTCCTGGTATCCGTCTTTCGAGCAGGAAATCACTACTCAGATTTATCCTGTCACCTTGAAACGGTTCCCTGGGCTGCTTGAGATTCAAACCCACTACTCCCCAGGCTTCCTCCTCGCCCAGGAATACTTCCATTTCTTTCATTCTTTTTGTACATTGACCAGATGCCCATTGTGCTGCCGCTAATTTTAACCCCCCTCCCCCACGTTTCTGTTTAACTTCTCAGACACACCCAGACCAGGAGCCCCGGCCCCATCAGCTCGAAAACATCACAGTTCCGACTGTATGTCTGTGACTCTGAAGCTCGAGTTTATTATAAGAACATAAACTAGCGATGCTAAGGTCTAACAGCCCGGGGCACACTTAAGTAAACTATGGCATCGTTTCAGCTACTGATGATGGTGTTTGCAAAAGCATCTTTGGATACTGCTTACAAGAAGATTTTATGATGCGGGGAGATCTGTGCTGAATTGGTTAAGTGCTATTTGCTACTTCTGTAGGGAAGGAAAGAAGAGGAAGAGTGAGGGAGGAAACAGATGACACGGTGGGGAGGCAGCAACTGGAGGAAGAGGACGCTTGTAGCAGAAAACTCCGCGGCTCTGCCTGAGGGACTGCGTGGAGAGCGGAACTCCTGGCTCACGAATGAGATTCAGCGAAGGAGCCTCCCAGGACGCGGCAGAAGGCGCTGCACCATCTACCTGGCTCCTCCCGCTGGAAGGAAGAGGCTGAGGGGAGAGGTCAGTCGAGGGCAGGACTGTTGGACAGAACACAGCAGGACCTGGTGGCTTTGGAAATTCTCAGCCTCTCCAAAGGCAAAAGAAAAGGATTTGGAGCTGATCTCAGGACACTAGCAGGTAACAGTGGTCTCGTGGTAAACCAAGGGTGCGACTCCCATGCTTTTGATAAGAACCCAGAAAGATGCAAGGCAGTGCCTTTATATTCCACCCTGAAAGACTGTTTAAAGAGACTAAAGTTGCAACAGAGCGTCAGGGCTCCCAGGACTTCCTGGCCGTGTCCCTCAGCCGCCCCAGGGCAGAGCAAGGCTCATCTGGAAGAACTCTGTGGGTGTCTTTCCCCTACTAGAGTGAACCCCGATGAGGCTCACAGGAGGCTCACGGAGTAAGTGAGACAGTTACCTTAGCAACACACAGGCAGCTTGGGCTGAATGAGCCAACGGCAAAAATGGAAGAAGGCTGTCAGCCATCAGACCCCCAAAATCCTACCAGACAGGAAGCAGGTGGGGAACAGGACTAGCTGCCAAAGCACGCTTTCTTTGACAAAGAGGATGCAGGACTCAGAGGACAGAGCAGGAGGATGGCCGAGAGCCCCAGAGGTTACACTCCTGATGCCCCTCGCCTGACTTCCTCCCAAGCCCATGCAGGCACCAGAGTCCCGCAGACGGAGATCTCCCCACACACCCCACCTCTTCCACCTCCCCTCTTAGCCGCTGTTCCTGCCCTGGGAGCCGAAAGTCACTAAGGGGGTGCCTGGCTGCACCCCAGCTGACTGTCCTTTCCTCCCCTTCCCACCACAACTCCACAGCCTGTCTCGCATCAGGACGCACAGGACACGCAGCCCACTCCAGCTCTGGGACACTCGAGCTCATCCGGCTGAAGTCCCTTGGCCCAGGCCACCTGTCCGGGGAGGCTGGAGGCTCGGAACCTGAGCTCCGCCCTGCCGGTTCCCAGCCGTCTTCCCGTCCCCACTGCACAGGAGAGAAAGCAGATTCAAGGAGCAAGGTGGTTCCAGGACGCCACACTGCAGGCGGACCCAGGAGCACCTCTGTGACCTCCGCATCCTGGCTCGGCCCTCACCACCCAGTCCCCTCCATGACCCAGCCCACAGTGCCCTTTTCTGGCCCTGAGGGAAGCAGACCGAGGTGTGGCATCATACACACCACTCACCTGAGCTATCAAGTCTCCGTTCTCTGCGTGGACCAGGATCACAGCGCCCAGCCCCTTGAGAAAGGTGAAGGCTTCGTACAGCTAAGGAGGACAGAGAGGGCGCACGTGAGCTCTGAGCCCGTGGCGGGTGCAGGATCTATGGGGACTGCTCTTCTCTCCCCATCCTGGTCCCTGCCAGCCTCTGCACTCCCGGTGAGGCTGATCCACCACAGGATGCTGCCCGCTGACCACAAGCCCTAGGAAAAGATGGGCCTCGGCCCAGCTCCTTCTAGACCCACAGCAGGAGGCTGGGGCGGGACGCACTGATCGAAGCCCCAACCGAGGCAGGGATACCCTCAATCCTGGCACCTGGGGCGGCTCCTGGGGGCGGCTCCTGGGGGTGCCCTCAGATGTTGGCCGTGACAACTAGAGTAATCAAGTCTGCTTGGCCAGTGCCACAGCCACACAGGGGACCCGAAAGAGCACAAGTGGCTGTGACAACTGAGACCTGGGTCATCTCACAGCTGTACAAGGACAAGCTTTGTGATCCCAGCACTCAGATGACAAGCACTGTGCAGGGCCTGGATCACCTGCCCAAGGTGGTCCACCCACTGCCCAGCAGTCACTTATTATTCCTGGTGAGCTCCTGAGCACCTCCTCCTGCAGTCCCAGAACGGTAACTGTGTTGTCAACACACGCAGGCCCTGGAATGCCTCTCTGGTCCCGTGGTAATGGCCAAAAACAGCTACCTAATGCCTGATGGTACCCACTGCAGGCCAGACACGGTCCCTACATTCAATCCTCTGCAAAGTGCCATAAGGTGGGTAAGATAAGTGCTGTTGTGAGCCTAAGATAATTCAGAGAGGTTGGGAAAGCTGCCCCAGGCTGCACAGCAAGCAGCAGGTATGGCCACGGCTTACACCCCGGCAGGCTAGCGGAAGCACACATGGCTCCCTGTCCCACTAACAAGCAGACATGAATGATGAGGGACCCAAGCAGGAGACCCAGCAGCTAAAGAAGGCCAGGTGCCTGGTAAATGGCCACTCCTGGAGAGCAACTCCTAGCACTGTCCTCCTCAGCTCCCTATGCCCCATCATGACCGCTGGAAGCCGGTGGGAATGGAGATTTTAAGACTCTTCGGATGGGAAGCTGAAGAAGGAAGGGACTCGCCCAGTGCCTCACGCCCTCCTCTGTCACAGCCAGAGCCATGGTCCCAGCTTTCTCTGAGCCCCAGAATCCACAGAGAAGCTCTCAGGAAGCTCACGTTTCCAAGCCCACACTTGAGCACCTGCCATGCTCTCTGGGAGCTGTGTGAGAGTGATCTTTGTGGGGACCCTGAGGAGTCCCCAAGGGAGGGACCCTCGCACCAGGCCTCCAGGCCCCACCCGGGCCAGGAGGGGGACAGCTGAGACCTGGTCGTGCTCCAGCAGTGGGCCTGGGACCTCCCTGCTGGACCTCCCTGGGGTCCCTGCCAGGTGAGGGGCAAGGGTGGGGGACACCTACCTGGCTGTCAGACATTTGGTAGAGGTCCTTGTAGGCCATGTAGACTTGGAAGGAATTGACACCTGCATGGAGATTCAAAGGAGAAGAGAAACGTGTGTTTAAGAAGAAAATGAAACCCTTCGTTTCCACGACATCAGTGATCACTGCACACGGACAGTGAACATCTACCGAGAGCGTATCCCGCACCGGGCCAGGCTGTCGCTGGGATGCAGAAGTGGATTAAAGCCCCTTTGGGGAACCCCTTGTCAGCTCCCCAACATCTGCAGACGCCCACTGAGCCAGGCCCAGCCACACACTGGTGGCTGAAGAAGCAAAGCCCCTTCCACAGCTCACGATTCTCGGGCCGGGTGGCCAGCTGGCGCGGGGAAACCAAGGCAGCTCAGTATCAGAACCACGGAGGAGGCGCACAGGGCCTGCGTGGGCAGCAGGGAGGGCGTCCTCCTTCCTCTCCTCGGGAAAGGCTCTGGGAAGCAGGTGAACAGCCTGGCACTCACGCAGGGCCAATGTGGAGCCCCAGAGCATTTAATCAAACGTGGAAAGAGAAGAAACTTGTGTGCTGCTGATGGGAATGCAAAATGGTAAAGCTGTTAAGGAAATCAGTGTGGACGTCCCTCAAAAAATTAAAAATAAATAGAGCCAATATGATCCATCTGGCAATCCCCCTCCTGCCTGTGTATCCAAAGGAAGTGAGACCGGTCTGTCGAAGGGACCTCTGCACTCCATGTTCCCTGCAGCACTGTTCACAGCAGCTAAGGAGTGTCTACTCACACAGGACTGGACACAGAAAATGTGTTATGTATACACCATGGAATACTACATAGCCATAAACAAGGAGATCCTGTCATTTGGATCCACGTAGATGAACCTGGAAGACATCAGCCTAAGTGAGGTAAACTAGGCAAAGACAAATGCCACAGGAGCTCACTGACAGTGGGGCTCTAAAACCCTGGACTCAGCTGCAGAGAACAGAAGGGTGATTATCAGCGGCTGGGGTGGAGGAGATGGAAAGATGCTGATCACAGGACACACGTGATTTTCAGTTCAACAGGAAGAATAAATCCTGGAGATCTCATGTCTGCTATACTTGTTATATATACTTGCTATACATAACACATAACAAGACAGCACATCTTAAATGTCCTCCTCACAAAAATGGGAAGAATGTGAAGTATCAGGAAAGGAGCTGGAAAGGGCAATTATCTCCCCAAGTTCTGCCATCCGTGACACTTTAGGAAGGAGTACACCCCCGTCAGCACCTTGCTCGTAGCCTTAGAAGACCCCTACTGGGTGTCTGACCTCCAAAACTGCAAAGTTGTAAATGTGTCACGGAGGGGTGTTACAGCAGCAAATGGAGCCTGATACTGACTTCCCATGAGTCGGCTCCATCCCGTGTTTGCCTTCCTCGCAGACCTGACCAAAAATTTTTGAAAATTTACCAAGAGGCAAAAGACGGACACAGTACCTCTTAAGGTAGAAAACTCGGGGGGCCTCATGGGAAATGAGCTACGGGCCAACATGGAGGGACGGTACAAGTAACGGCCAGTAGCACGGAAGCCTAACCAGGACCCAGCCCTGCTCCACGCACCAGCCATACACCCTCCTGTCTGACCTCAGGACAGTCTTCTCGCTGCTGCCCAGCCCCTGGACAAACACATGGAGAGGCCAAGTGTCAGCCCCAGGCAGAGACGGCTCCTAAGCGGAGGGGCCTGGGTCACCCGTGAAGTGCTATTTCATTAACATAGTGCAGAATATGAGGCAGATTAGGGCTCCATCTATGGAAAGACTACATCCACACGATGTCCATACATACGCAAGGAGTGTATGCATTACTCAGTATTTTTGTATATTCGTAGGTAGTGGTCTACAAATACGATGGATGTTTAAATTTTTAAGACTTTATCACCGTAAAAGATATACTGCCACGAACGCCCCTCAGCATATTCCCCGTCATTCTGAGCACACTCATCCCAGGGTCCATGCCACTTTCTGCAGCAGCTCTGGAGTCCTCTTTCCTGAGGGTCTTTAGTTGCACTGTTCTGGCTGCCTCGATGGCCTGATTCGATCCAAAACATTTCCCTTTCGTGGTCATGCTGACTTTGGGGAGAAGCCAGATGTCACACAGTGCCAGACCCGGTGACTAAGGTGGATGAGGACGCAGTGCTGTGTTTTCGTGAGCTGCCTTTCTGCTGGCTGGCGCTCAGCAACAGCGCTGGCTGGATTTTCAAGCGAGGGGGAACCTTGGAGGTGGACTAATGGCAATGTGTCTCCCTGTAATAATATTTCTTTAATTTAAACATTTGACATATATTTTGATCATACCTCATATGTAAATAAAAAACTAGAACATGAAATCCAAATTACTGCTCTCTAGCACAGACACTCCTGCAGTTTTTATGGGCATACAGGGCTCTGAAACTTGGGTCAACACAGCATCCCACAGTGACGGCTGGACACACACACACCATGTCGGCACCCACGGGCCCCAGCCAAGGCAAGAAACCAGCTCCTGCCCAGGGCAATGCTGTGAACATCGAGACCCTGACAACCAAGTCTCCCCAGCAGAGCCTGGCGGCCCCTCTGCCGACAGTGATGAACCCCAGGGCACCCTCCTTTGCTCTCTGTGTCCCCCCTGCTCCTGTCCACGTGGGTCACCAGCCCGCTGCACTAACAAGCTGAAGTGCACAGCGTAGGACAGAAGCAGCTCAGGATGGAGGGGTTGGGGGGAAAGGCACGATGTGCAACTGCAAGTCCCCCTCGAAGGATGGCTCCGTGCGATCGCAGCCGGATTCACAGCAATCACAGGGTGGGGGTGGGGGTGGGGGCAAAGCTTCTAGGTAGATGGCAAATCCTACCTGACACGTGGACAGAGGGGACAACTGGACCATCACATAAGGAGACATACACACAGGACACTTACACAGCTAGTAATTAAAGAGTTACGCGATAGTGACAACGAACGGGTGGCCTTCGCCTGTGGAATCAGCAAGGACTTCATGACACCACGACCCCCGCAGGCACAAACTCGCAGGGCCAGGGATGCTGGCCAGGCTTGCGCTGGGGCAGGGGCAGGGGGTGCTTGCAGGGAACCAATTCCGGCATCAATGTCATGACCTTGGAGAAAGCTAAAACCTTCAACTTCAAAATTTCATTTCTAGAAATCTGAGAAAATAATTAGAATGCAGACGCTTACATATGAAGATGTTCGCCATAAAACGATATATAATAAAACAAATAGAAAACCTAAGTGTCTAATAAAAAAGAAAACAGCTAAGCAAATTTACCATTACATTCTATGTTATGAGCCATTAAAAAGTAACTGATGAAGAGTAATGTTATGCATAAAATGGTGAGTGCAGAGAGCAGGGTCCCAAAGAACAGCTATCATCCAACTGCGTAAGGAAAAGGTCACCGACACAGACAGGGAACAAAGGCGATAATTCTTCACATCATGGAAACCTGGGACTGGAGCTCGAACAGCGGATGCTTCCTTCTCTGATTTTCTGGCTCTTGGCTTATTAGAAATGATGACATTTGTATAATGGAAAAACATAACATACATAATTTAAAAATTGAAAGCACAGGCCAAATGTGGTGGTACTCACCCACAATCCCACCACTTTTGGAGGCTGATTCAGGAGGATCATTAATTTGAGATCGTCCTGGGCAACTTAACGACTTAACAAAGCCCCCTCTCTAATAAAAGTAAAATAAAAAGGTCTGGGGTGTAGCACCATGCCATGCCCTAGGTTCAATTCCCCATACAGGAAAACAAAATGAGCACCCAGCCTGGCTCTCCTTGAAGCCCTCCCCAGGCGCCTCTGCAGGTGCCCCTGTCAGACTGGTCACCTCAGCCCAACCCATCCTGTCCTGCTCTTCCTGCTCCCTCTCCTTTCTGCCTGAGGATGTGGCCCCCTCTCCCTGCAAGGCAATGCATTTACACTGGGCAGGGTCCCCAGGTTGAGTCCACACAGAGGGCAGCCAAGGGGGACACAGAGGTGTGCAGACATGTCCCTCCTAGAGTGCAGAGTTTAAAAGAACAGCCAGACACATGGCAAATGTCCTAGAATCCAAGAACAATGACAAAGGTTGTCCCCAGAGGGCCCAGCTGTCCCCAAAGAGGGACTGGCTCTGGATACCGAAGGAGAAGAGTGACTTTGAGGGGAGGATGGTAGAGGAGGTCACAGAGCCGGGTCCTGAAGGTGACAGCACCTGAGCAGCAGACAGAAAGGATGCTCCTGGCACAGGGACAGCTTGAGCAAAGGCCAGCAGAATCACAGGAGGCAGGGATGGCAGCCAGGACAACGGGTGCCCAGGGCGGGTTAAGGCAGAGAAAGAGAAGTGAGGTCAGACCAGAGAAGGTCTTGGATGCCAGGCTGCGGAAACTGGGCCTGCCTGTGGATGAGGGACACCCAGGAGCAAGAGGACAGATGTCCCAAAGTGGGCCACCTGTCTTTTCACTTTTTGTGAGGCAGTGCGCAACTTACCACAAAGGAATTTTCCCACCCCCAGCCTCTGGGTCCACCAGGAGCCAAGGACCGTAGGGCCCCACTCCACGGTGTCCACTGACCTTTGTCCTGCACCAGCACCTCCAGCTCCTCCCGGACGCCGTCGTACCAGCTCGTGATGTCCACATGGAGGGAGTAGTCACAGCAGGATTTGGTGTCAGCTGCTTCGTGCCATTTCTCAAAGGAGGTAAGCAAGCTGGAGCCAGGCTCAGGAACCACGTGGTCGACTGAGAGAGACACCTGTGTCATGATGCTTACAAGGGGCCCAAGTTGTGCCATCATTATCCCCACTGATGTCACCTCCGCCACTACAGCATCATCACCACTGTCAGTACTGGCCTCACCACCACCATCATCCCCATCATCACCACCATCAGCATTACTACTGGGATCACCTCAGAACCGCCATCATCTCTACTCACATCTCCACCCCATCACCATCATCACCACCATTAGCATCACCATCACCATCACCACCATCATCACCATCACCACCATCACCATCATCCCATCACTATCACCAGCACCATCATCATCACCATCATCATCATCTCCACCACCAGCACCATCATCACTGTCATCACCATCACCACCACCACCATCATTACCACCATCAACATCATCACCACCATCACCACCATCATCACCACCACCACCACCACCATCATCACCACCACCATCACCATCACCACCACCATCACTACCACCATCACCATCGTCACCACCATCACCAACATCATCACCATCATCACCATCATCACCACCATCACCACCACCATCATCACCACTGTCATCACCATCACCATCATCACCACCATCACCACCACCATCATCACCACCATCACCATCATCACCATCATCACCACCATCACCATCATCACCATCACCATCACCACCATCACCGCAATCACCATCGTCCCCACCATCATGGCCAACATCTCCATCATCATCCCCACCCCCATTCACAGCACCCCGTGCCCACTGTCACCCATCCTCACCACCACCAGTCTCCTCACCACCCTTCTCTTCACCACCTACACCATCAGCAGCTGTGGCACCTATGCCAGCATCTTCAGGCTTCGTCAGCCCAACTGCGGCCCCGATGCACCCCCTCACCACAACGACTCCTTCAGTGCTTTTCATGTGTCAGGAGCTCGAAGGCTCTAAGTTCTCCCAGCCAACCCTCAGGACCACTCGTGACGTAAACAGTCACAGCCCAATTCTGCAGATGCAGAGACGGCTCAGGAGTCAGGAACTCACCGAGGTCTCGCAGTGAGTGAACGGTGGGAGGCAGACTCCGCCAGAGACCTAGGTGACATTCTGGCTGGTAAGCCACTCCACATCGCCAACCTGGGCACAGAATGCCAAGGTGGAAACAAGCTTGGACACCAAGAAAAGCAACCTCGTCATCTCTTTTTCCAATACAATCTTAAACATAAAGTTGGTCCCAGAAGGGACCCTCCTGTGTCTTAAACCTCCTGACCTCTCCCACCCCTCTAGGTACTGCCCTGCTTTCCCTGTGCCTCCTCCCCTGCCAGGCATCCATAAAGATTTCCAGACAACAGGCTCTACCTTCCTCTTCCCTCTCACCTCCTCCATTCATCTAAAGCACTGGCCTTTGCTAATTCAGCCCCCTCTCCAGGTCTGACGGAAGTGTCCAATCCTCACTCAGCATGGCCCTGAAGGTAATCACTCCTTCTCTCTTCTGCTTGCTTTCCTCCAGCAACCCGTCCTCCAGGCTTCTTGTCCTGCTTCTTTGGGATCTCCCCAACCCTCCAGACTCCTGTACTTGCCCTTAAAGGGTCAGGCCTATAAGGCTCGGTCCTACAGCTTCCCTGTCCCTGACTCAAGTCACACTGCCCATTCCCCACGCAGCCCACCGCAGACCTGCCTGCCCCACTCAGAGGACAGCACAGCCACAGGAAGAGGACGCACTGCTGATGCACCGCTGCATCCAAGCCATCCCGGCCTGCTGATGACTCCCACAGGCCAGCCCTGTCTGCTGTCACGTCTGATCTGAGCTACTTTATTCTGCTCTCTGCAGAACCCATCAGAGAGCTGGGAGTGGTGGTACATGCCTATAATCACAGCTACTTGGGAGGCTGAGGCAGGAGGATCACAAGACTGAGTTTTGAACAACTTAGCAAAAACCCTATCTCAAAATAAAATAACATTAAAAAGGGGTGGGGATGTAGCTCCATGGCCTCAGCCTATGTGAGGCCCTGGGTTCAATCCCTAGCACCAAAATCATATCCCTTCCTGTTTAGAATCTTTCTATGATTTCCACCACCCACATGAAAAAGAGCCCAGTGTGGTCTCCTCCTTCCGGCCTCACAGTTCACCCTCAGTCTCTGGACTGCAGCACGCTCCGCCGCACAGGGCCTCTGCACGTCACCCGCCTCCTCCTGGGGCTCCCTCCCCCGGCTGACCCCCTCCGCCTTTGCACCCCGCACCGCCTGCTTCCTTAGGGAGGACCCTGTGCAGCCCCAGCTCCGTACTCTGTAGCCCTATCGCAGTTCACCGCCGCACACATGGCTGATGAGTGACTCCCAAGACTCGAAAACAAGTGTCATCCCTGCTTCTGCTCACCCCTGCACCTGGCACACAGTGACTGCTGCCCGGCACCCGCAGAGGAGGGAGGGGTGGGGATTGGAATCTCCCCGCCCCTGGGCCCCAGGATTCCTCAGACGGAGGCCTCCAAGAGATGCCCTTTCACGGGTGGAGAGGGTGAGGCCCTGGGGCAGGGCTCCCCCAGGCCTCCCAGCTGAGATGGGGAGACAGCAAGGGGGACCCTCGGGGTCCCGGCTCCTCATCTCAACCCCGACTCTTCCATCTCCACCTCTCAGCACCCACGTGATAGGCACTGCACCAGGGAATCGAGGAGCTGGGGGGTCACAGAGCCCATGCTGCAGGTGAGGAAGGTGAGGTTTGCAGAGGCAAAGGATTGGCCTGGACTCTGCGGGGTCCCAGTCCAAGCCAGCCTGGTCCAAGGTTGTGCTCTTCTCAATTTGCCCACTAGAACAGGACCAGACTTGCTGCCCAGGAAGTCAAGTCACACCATCCTGGCTTGGGGGCAGCCAGATATGGCCCAGGGGTAGGCCCCCCAAAGGGATACTTGGGGGACAGAGACAGGCAGAGTTGGGACTCACAAAGCCTCACAGTTGAAAGAACATTTACAATCAACTGATGCCTGTTTTAATTAAAGTCACCTATTACAGTGGAAACCAAGCAGAAACAGCTATTCAAACAGAGCAGAACTATTATTTGTCAGGTTCCCCGTTGCTGGGACAGAACACGGACACCCGCAACACAGAGGAGCAGGAGGGGCTCACTGTGGTCCATAGTCAGAGGGTTCAGTCCATGGTTGGCAGCTCCAAGGCAGGAGGACCATGGCAGAGCACATGGTGGAGGACAGCTGCTCACCTCACGGCAAACGGAAGCAGACAGAGTGGAGGATCCGGGGACAAGAACACAGCTGTCTAGGTCACAGCTCAGGGATGAGCACAGCGTCCTCATGATCCAGTCACCTTCCCAAAGCCTCACCTCTGGACGCGGGAGGCTCTGGGGCACATTCTAGATCCCAACCATAACAAGAGCACTTGGGCTGCCCAGGGAAGAGGTGGGAAAGCAGAGCCAGGGCCCTGACCCTTCTGCAGCCCAAGGCAAGGCCACTCCATCCCCCTCCTCACCTCTCATACTAGCAAGGAACACAAGTGCTGCTTGAGATTTGGGGGCCACCATGGTTGGGACATGATTTCCACATGGCCCTAAGGAGTCAGGAGGTGGAAGCTGAGTCCTCAGTGTAGGAGGTGGGGAGGTGGTGGGACCTTCCAGAGGAGGAGCCCTGTGGAGGTCATTAGGACCCTGGGGGCACTGCCCTCAGAAGGGACCAATGTTGGCCCCAAGGAGGTTTTAGAAAGAGCAAGGGGCCCTCCCCACTTATGATCTTTCCTTGTCTCATGTGTTCCCATCAGGATGCCAGCTGCCACACTGTCACTCAGCCAACGGGGTCCTCACCAGAGACTAAATGAAGGGGTATCTGGTCTTGGACTTTTAACCTCCTACACTGTGAGCTAAAACTTCCTTTCTTTAAATAGGTAAAATTACCAACCCGTAGAAATGGAAACCAGACTAAAAGAGGGGCTGTCTGTTATGTAGAATTATAACAGCAGAGCTGACTAATACAACAACTGCCTAGCTCTGCAACCTTGGACAAGTCACTTCAACCTTCTGAGCCTCTATTCCCCCATCTGTCATAATATCTGTCACTGTTTCCCAAACTTTAACCATCTGCACACGTCAAGATTTTTTTTAATCTCCCTATAATCTCCCTTTTGCTTTACTCTCTCAGATCATTCTCTACATAATACTTTTAAACTTACTCAGCTACTTTTTTTCCTTTTTTTCTTTTTGGTTTTTGGAAACAGTACTTCAGGCTGGTCTTAAATATATATGTAATGCCGGATGGCCACCAACTCACGGCGATCCTGAGTGATCCTGATCCTGCTGAAGCGTCCTGCGTGCTGACATTACAGGCAGCCACCACTGTAGCTGGTTATTAGCTTCTAAAATCTAAAAATCTGAATGTGAACTGTAATCTCACCCTAAGCAAAGATAATATCCATAATGTGCTAGTTATTTCACTTCAACACATTAAAATGGCTTAAACTTTTAATGTCTGTGTGCCTTAAAATCACCCTGTGCACCACCAGCGGCACACGTAATACCCTAAGTCAAATGGTGCCCTAGATAAATGCTCAGCGAGCAGGTGCCATGTGTGGATCACACTGCTGGTGAGAAGGGCCCACACAACTCACTGATCATCGTGGTCCCGCCTGCCAGCGCCGCCTTGGTCCCCTGGAAGAAGTCATCGGCGGCAGTCATCCCTTGGCAGGGCTTCTGCAGGTACGTGTTGACGTCGATTCCCCCAGGGATGACCATGCGACCATTGGCCTCGATGGTCTTCACTCCGCCGGGAACGATCAAGTTCTCTCCTATTTGTCTGGAGATCAACAACAGAGAGGGCTTTGTTCTTAAAAAGCAAGTGAAATAGGCATAAGCTGCGCAACTTCAGTCTACCGAAGAAACATCTGAGTCTGGCCCAACACAGGGCCCTGGGTGGACAGAGAGGACCCAGGAGGGGCTGCCCTCAGGGGCTGCTGAGGATGCAGCAGGGCTGAGGGTCAGGGAGCCCAGGGTGCTTTCACCCAGCCGGGCTCTCTAGGAGGCCATCCAGGGGAGGACAACAGGGCTGGTTCCAGCAGAGGTGACCAGCCTCTCCACCACGTGGCGCATGGACTTTACACACCCTTGGTAACATCCCTGGGGAAAGAGGATGCAGTCACTGAACAAGGCAACGAAAACTCCCCTAAGCTCTTTGGGCTTCCAGAGGGTTGCGGCTTAGACCTACACTGTCCCCTAGAGGTGGGGTTCTGAAAGGTGACTGGGTTACAGAGGTGCTGTACTTAACGGTGATTCATCCCCTAACGGGGTCACTGCTGACTATGTCTGGTTGGAGGTGGCCACCGTGCTGTGACCTAGAAGGGAGTGTTCTTGTCCCCGGCTCCTTCCCCTCTCTCTGCCTCCCGGCAGCCATGAGCAGAGGTGAGCAGCTCTCCCCCACCACGCCCTCCCACCACGCTCTTTCTGCCTTGGAACCAGCTGACCATGGACTAAATCCCCCAAAACCGTGAGCCACGTACACCTCTCCTGTGAGTCCCTGCTGTCAGGTGTTTCGTCCCAGTGACGAGAAAGTGACTAATACACAGAGACACTGCTATGGGCTGAGCTGCACACCCTCAAAATGTATGTGGTGAAGCCTGAGCCCCCCAAAACTCAGAAATTAACTATTTGGAGACAAGATCGTCACAGCACCTATAAAGGAAGAAGAAGGCCCCTGGGGTGGCCCTAAGCCAAGCTGGCTGATGTCCTAGTAAGAAGGAGGACAGGATGCAGACATGGCAGAAAGGTAGGAAGTGGAAGGACAGAGGGAGAAGACACCACCTGCATGTCAAGGAGAGGCCTCGGGAGGACCCACACCACCCACACCTTATCCCAGACTCCCAGACTCCACACTGGAAGGAATACATTTGAGCCTCGGTCTGGCTTTACAGCAGCATGGGCAAGCTGGTCCGGACAGGCCCCAGGTTCTCGTTTCTGCCAAACACACTGGGCTCTGGCGACAGGAACACGAGGTCTGACAAAGTCACCGACACCATAAAGTCCACATCGGGGACTCAGCAGGTGGGTGAAGGTTTCCAAACATGGACCTCCCTGCTGCCGTGGTGTCTGCACACCGCCTCCAGGGCAGGGAGGACTCTACGCAGGCTGGGGGGTGGGGAGCATCTAAGCATTAGCAGCCTGGCCCCAATGTCACGCCTGGCTGAGGCCACTGCATCTGAGCATGAGCAAGTTTTATTTGGAAAAGAAAAACCCAGATTCTCTGAACTCTTGGGGAGGTCTCTGAGTCACTGAAAATCCCAGGAATAAAGACTTAAGAAAATGTTGCTCTGGTGACCAAACGCCAGGCCCCAAACAGAACCCACCTCAGGGGCAAACACAGAAGCCCCAGCTCCAGAGCTCTTGGGCAGGGTTCCAGGGAAGTGGGGGCCTGGTGACAGCTCCTGCTCGAGGACCCTGCAGAAGTGGGGCATCGTAGCCTAGCTGTCCCCAACCTGGAGACCGGCGAGCAGACGGCAGAGCAGATCAGGGTCAACTGTGCCAGAACATCTGGGTCTGAACCACAGCTGGGAGGAGGGGCTCAAGAAGATGCTAGAACCTTATCACGAGCAGCGAGCCAGGCGTGGTGGTGATGCCCCCTACCCCTCCTCCGCGACCTGGGGGACCAGTCATCTGCTGGAGCTTTCCCTTTGTCTGCGCTCCTGCTGCTCTGCACCAAGCCCCAGCTCTGCCCTGGGGTGGGGGCAGGGGTGAGGAAGAGACGCCGCGCTGGAGGAGGGACAGAAGGACAGAGGAGCGTCCAGCTCTAGGGCACAGCAGGCTTCCTGGAGGAGGAGTCGTATGAGTCCAGGAGAGCAAACAGCAGCGTAGGAAGGGGCTCCAGGGAGGCTTGGAGGTGCAAGGGACTCAGGCAGGAAGCAGCCTGGCAGTCACCATGGTGACAGGAGCCAGGGAGGAACAGGAGGGAAGGAGGCTGGGAAGCAGAAGCCCAGGAGGTTTGGGCCAGGGTCAAAGACCGGGACTGGAGTTGGTGGCAGACAGAGGCAGGGATGTCTCAGCTGTCCTGCGCCCAGCTCTTCCTCAGGCACTTTGGACAGGCAGCACTTTTAACATCCCCAATGACCCATAGCCTCCTCCTCTGCTTCCTCCTCTTCCTCTTCCTCTTCCTCTTCCAAGTGCACATGGGCCCAGCTGGTCCTAGTGACCAGGCCTCTTCCTTCTGACCCTCTCCTCACCCAGCTTCCCCTCTGCCTTCCTTTCTGCACAACCCGCCAGGCAGTGCTGGGAAGGTCCCTTCCTCGGCTCCTCTAGACGCCGAGGGAAGGGGCTGGACAACAGTGAAGCCAGGGCCTCCTTGGGTCAAAGGCTGAGAGCTGCTCTCCCCCATCACGAGCAGTCAGATGTGGGAGGCCTCGGAGACACCACTGCCTGATGCTACAGTCTGAGTCCCCCAAACTCCTGTTGAAGCCCAAACTCCCCCACATCTCTGTATTTGGAGACAGGGCTCTCAAGGAAGTAGTTCAGGCTGAATGAGGTCACAAGGGTAGGTCCCTAACCCAACAGGACCAGGGTCCTTATAAGAAGAGAGAGAAGCCTGTGTGTCACTGAGAAAAGCCACCTGAGGACACAGTGAGAAGGTGGCCACCAGCCAGACAAGGAGGGAGGCCTCACGGAGGCCAACCCTCCCGGCACCCTGACCCAGACTTCCGGCCTCCAGAGGACGAGAAATAAGTTTCCATGGTCTATGCCATCCAGCCTGAGTGAACCCCAGACCGGGGTTTCCAGGGGCAGGGCTGAAGGGGCAGCCCCAGGAGGCCCAGGAAGCCTCCAGTGCCAAAGGCTTTTCCGGAGGGGGCAGTCAAAGCTCCGTGGGGAAGTCAAGTGCCCCCTCATTTCTCCTGCTCCTCTCAACCCAACTCCAGGAATGGTCAGCAGAGAGAAAACAGGGTTGTCTCTGAGCAGGATGCACTGACAGCCACTTCCATAATAAAACAGGGGTCACATCTGCACCCCACAGCCCAGGGGGAGGGGGCACCCAACACGACAGGGACAACCAAGGTGCAGCAGAAAGTCGGCATGTCTGGGGGCACCCACTCCACTCAGTGTGACCCCACTCCGTATCCCAAACTCAGGAACACAGCTGCACAGGGCACCGGCCTTCCGCTGTGCACCAGTCAGGCAGCCTGCAGAGAAATTGATGCCCTAGAGAGAGGTCTGCTCCGGCAACCCACTTGATAAGTCCGTCTTCCAAGTAGACGTCGGCGTAGAAGGACTGATCATCATTGATAATTCGTCCCCCTTTGATGAGGAGCCGGTCACTCTGAAAAGCAAAGCAAAGTGTTCAGTGTCACCAGGGAGAAACCAGGAGAATTTTTTTCCTAGCTTTTAATATAAAAGTTCTCAAACATCTTCAACAGTACAGAAAGGGCCCTGGCAAGCCCTGTCAGGTCCTCCCCAAGCTCAGGGGGGCTTCCACACCCCTCAAATCCCAAACAGCGTGTCGTCCCGCCAGATGCTTCCGTATTTAGTTCTAACCACTAAGAACTTTTCAAATAAGCAAAACCACAATCCACGACTCCAAGGAACAAAGGGATCACCAGTTCCTTCACCCTGGCCCACAGTGAGACCAAGCTCAGTTTTCCTGGATTGTCCCCACAACGTCTCTTCACGCCGTCGGCCCCTGCACCCCGGCTGGCAGAGCCCTGCAGTCTCTCACAGCCCCAGGGCTCCTCCGTCCTGAATGTAGAAATTGGGTCATTTGTAGAACAGGAATTCTCAGGCGTCTTTACGCACCACCATGAACAATTAGCAGACGGTGTAAGAGGTGACAGAAAGGCTGAAAATAACTGCTCCCCGCTCACAGGCTCCAGGGACACTCTGGTGTTATCTTCTTCCTCCTCCCGCGGTTTGACTCTAGGACCTCCCTCCATCCGCTCACCCGCTCCTGACCATCTCAGCCCCCAGGGGAGGTTCGAACTGCGCAGCCTCCCTTCCTCCTGGGCTTCCTTTCCCCGGGCTGACAGATGAAAGGCGGACGTGTAACAAGGGCAGGGTCGGGATGTGGGGCTCTGGAGGGGAAAGTGGGGGTGAAGGGAAGGGGCTGCCAGCCTTATCTGCAGCGTCACACAGGCCCAGCTCAGACCTAGGGCAGAGGCGAAGCTCTGGACTAGACCAGGGGCTGCAGAGGGAGGGGTCGGGAGCAGGGACGCCGGCGTTCTGGGCAGGTAGAAGGGTGTGCGAGGCCCCCAAATCCCGGAAACAGAGAAGCCGGCTCTGTCCTTTTTCCATTTCCCATGAGCATGCCCCAAGCCACTGCATGAGCACCATGACCGGAACTCACACCGGCTACAAAACACCCCACCCCGCGAACGCGTAGGTTGTGTAACAGCGCCCCCAGTGCTGGACGCTCAGACTCGTCTCCATCTTCCCACTGTGACGGGTCCTGAACACCCTTGTGCACAGCGCGCTTCCCCAGTCTGGATGGCCTGTTAGCCAAACTGCTCAGAAGCTAACTGAACAAGTGGATCAAACAGCACCAACCTTCTTTACGGCCCTGGGTAACTACGACCAACTTGCTTTCCAAAGGGACTGCCTCCATTTACCAGGCACCGGCACAGCAAGCGCCCTGCTTACCATTAATTTTTACTAATACACTTTCAAGAGGCTGAGAATTTTTTTGAGAATTTTTTCTTCATTATCCACCAACTGCCGTTCACACCACTGGGCAGGGCAGTTAGGCTGCAATAAGAATACCATGTAGCCCTCCCGAAGGGTCTGCCCCAAGCAGAGCCTGAGGCGTGTGGTGAGCCTGGAGGGGAGCAGGGACAGGAGGCTCTGGTGAACCCAGCTCCACTGGGGGCAGCTGGGGCTCCACCCCACCAGGACCCCAAGGAACTGCAGAGAAAGCACCCCATGTGGGTCCCGTGGGCCCTAGAGGAAGGCAGGGGATCCTCTGCAGATCCTGCAAGTTTGGAGGAGAGTTTAGGCCAAACTAAACAATCAGTGGACTTTCTGAGCAGAAGCAGAGGCCTCAGCCACTTCTTGCATCTGTTGTCTCCCCGCAGTGAAGCCAAGGCTGGCAAGACCCGGTTCATCTGGAATCCCCCTCTCCCAGCACAGCTCTGCTCCGTGTCACTTCGGAGCGCCCTGCCCTGTTTGGAACGCCACACATCCGCCAGCCAGCAGATCTTGCACCCCTGACCCACTTCCCAGCTCTCAACATAGTAGGCTGACAGACTGCGTATTACACACCCATCAGGCTCCCAGCTTTGATGTGCCACCCACTGGCTGTGCAAGGCACAACCACACAAGGGACCACCTATAAATGAACTGAAGTAGGCGGCACCACCTAGTTTGCCCTGCAGATGCCCTTGCTCGCTTGGTGGCTCCATGGCAGCAGGCCCTTCGGCTGTTTCTTCACGACTGCATCTCCAATATCTCGAACCCAGCCTGGCCAGAGGAGCAGATGGATGGATGGATGGCTGGCTGGATGAATGGGTGGGTAGATGACAGATGGGTACCATGAATGGATGTATGGCTAGATGGATGGATGCAGGCAAGCATGGATGAGTGGATGATGGATGGATGGATACCGTGGATGGATGGGTGGGTGGATGGATAGATGGATGGATGACAGATGGGTACCACGAATGTGTGTACCTATGTATGTATGTCTGGATGATGGATGAGTACCAGGAATGTATGTATATATGTAAGATGTATGGTAAAATGCATGGGTTCATAGGCTGGCTGGACGGGTACCATGGATGGATGGATGGGTAGGTGGGTGGAGTGGTGCCTGAACGGCTTCTTGAAAGACGAATGGGTCAAGGAGAAGAGAAGAGGCTCCACAGCTGTAAGCTATGACAGAGAAATATGGAACAGCATCTCCTGCTTCCTGCCAGGAGGGTCAGACTTGCAGTCACTCCCAGGCCCAGAACTTGCCCTACATCCCTAAGATAGAAGCCGGCCATAAGGTGTACATCGCCAGTAGGGAGCCACCAAGCTCTCTGGAAGATATCCCAGGTCCAGGAAAAGAGGAGGCGTGGACTCTGCCTGTCCAGGAGGTACAGACAGGCTGGAGCAGAAAGCAGGAAAACGCTGAGACATCAGCAGCTGGCGCAGGCTTCCAGGGCCCGGCTCTCCTGGCAACGGCACAGCCGTGTCACATTTACTGGTTGCTCTGGCTCAGCCTGACAAGGGGCCTTGTGCGCCGTGCACCAGGGGAGGAGCCCCAGCCTGCTCTGCCCTTCCTCGATGATGGAGCGTGGTTCAAGTCTAGGAGCCCAAGCCCTTGGAGTTGCTCAGGGGCCAGTATAGTTTTGAAAAAAATAAATAAATAAACCCATAATCAAGGAAGGGCTGATGTGACTTCCTCATTTTATTTCTTGAAATTAAGTCCCTTTGCCTTTTAATCCGAATTTTCAAAGCCATGTCCTGCAGAACGCAAGCAGGGGGCTCCTTGTCCCAGAGCGCAGTCCCCGGGTGCAGAGTTGAGAAGACGCTGCTTTAAATAGAAGTAAAGCACTTCCCAGGCCTGCCCTCTACCATGCGCACGTGCAGGGAAAAATCAGCAGAGGAACTGAGCTCCCCACTGCCCCAGAGCTCAGATCCCTCCATGGTGTGGGGTCCTTTCCGTAGCAGACAGGGAGGAAAGGTGTCTTCCGGTCCTTGGTGACGGCCACCCTGCCCCGAATGGTCTGCGGAAATGCTGGACCTAGTCTGACCTTGGTTGGAAATGGTGTTGGGAAACACGTGTGGCCTCCAACGTCCCGAAAGAAACCAAGGCGCAGGTTTTCTAACTTCCTGCCCAGATGGGGCCCCAAGCCATGTATTGCGGCACTTGTAAACATTCTTATGCTCTAGAGTCCACAACACCCCAAACAGATGGAGGGCGGGGACACCCCAAGGCCTGGCCCCAAAACCTCGCATCCAAGGCTCCTTTCTTCCTGTGCAAAACCTCACAGAACTGCGCAACAGAGGAGTGGGTTTTACTATACGCGTATATAAAACGTGTACTTTATACATACATACATTTTAAAATTTTAAACAAAATTCGTACATTTAGAACAATGGCATCACTGTCTGCCGTGCGCAGTAAACAGCAGATGTGAACAAAGGCAAAGCTTTGTACAGAAATCGCTATTTATAGGCCTCGAAGAAAATAAAATCTCTCATGAAAAATTCAATGAAAACCTAACAGCTGAACTTGATTGTACGCCAGAGACAGCCAGCTCATCCCACAGTGACAGCGGGGATCTCACTGAATCATACTCTGCATGGCTGGCGTCCTAGGATCAATAATGGATAAGAGCAGACGGAGGGAGGCTGCAATTTCCACCTGCTTAATACCCATGTGACTTAACTGCCCCAGACCTCAGTTTTCCCAGCTGTGAAGTGGAATAATTAGCCAGTAGAGGTGGCATACCCCTGTCATCCCAGTACTCTGGGAGGCTGAGGCAGGAGGAGTGCAATTTTGAGCACAGTTTGGGCAGTTTAACAATTTAGCAAGACCCTGTCTCAGAATAAAAAATAAAAGAGGACTGGGGGCACAGTTTGGGGCAAAGGCCCTGGGTTCAACAGACAGAACCACAACAAAGGTGTTGGGAGAGTGGTAAGTGCCTGCCTCCCAGGGCCGCTAGCTGAAGGCCCTGGGTTGTACGTGTGTGTGTAAAGCGTTTCACACAACCTGGCAGGCGAGTGTCTCAGCAGCAGTGTGCCTGCTGACTTCCTGCCATTTCCTGCAGCTGGAGCTGTACTTCATAAACAAACAAGTGCTTCAGGAAGGGCCATGTGTGCCCAAGAGAAGTGGCCCCTGCTCCTGAGGAGGGCCTAGGCCCGTGGGGGAGGTGGACGGTCACTAGGCCTTTGCACCTCACATGGGAAGAGGTGGAGGGTCAGAAGAGGGCCACAGGGCAGAGGAGGCTCCACCCCACCCTCCGTCCTCACACACCTACACTGTGTGAAGGATGAGTAGGAATTAGCCACATGGCCAAGGGATAAAAGATTCCACAGACGGGGAAGGAGGAGCTGGCCTACACTGTGGCTGCAGGGGACTTCAGTGTCCCCTGGTCCCTGAGGGCGCTGGTCCCAGGGTCATCCACAGACACCGAAATCCAAGGATGCTCAGAACCCTGGGTAGCAACTGGTGTAGTGTTTGCATCTGACCGTCACACACCTGCCTGGAGCTTTTAACTCTTACAACACCTACCAGCAGGTAACTGCAATGCACACAGCAGTACACCATTGTGTTCGGGGAATGACTGGCAAGGAAAAGGTCTGGGAAATTATCAGGGAAAATTTTTCCCAACATTTTAAATC